TTAACTGAAATTTTAATATGTTAAATAATTTGTTCATCTATTGAAGTTATATTACATCAAAAAGTAGTATGACCTTGTGGATCTGTTGTCAAGTTCTTTCATGTTTGTTGCTTTCATAGGCGTTTTCTCAAGTTTTCTTGGAAAATGTTGGCTTTTGAATTTTTTGCCTTCTTATTTTGCTATATCATTCACTGAGTCTTCTCTATTTCTTTATACTCTGTTGAAAATACATTCTTTGTTGCTTAAAGAGGATCTTCCAGTTAACACTAGAATAGAACAGCTTTGGTGAAAGGTTAACACTGTATATTTTGACAGCTATGAATTGCTTGTAATAGCATTTAGTTTATTTATTGCTTTAGCAGCCAGTGTTGTGAGCCGTGCCTTTGTCATGAAGGCAGAGGATCATATTCAGTTGTAAACACTCCTCTGTATAAGATTTCTTTGGTGGTTATATTAGATAACATGGAAATCCCTACCCCTCCAAAATCTGCAGACTTCAGAGCATACCTTTCTCCAAAGGGAAACCCTGCTGTTGAACACAGTTCAACAGTGAACATGCTGGTTAAAAGAATGCTGGTCCCTGTGGCTCAGCACAACAGGTGTCTGCCTCACAGGAAATACTTGCCTTTTAGGCATCTTTCAACATGCCATAGTTAAAATCCTGTTTCTTCAAGTTTTACAATTCATATATGTTGTAATTTGAACAACTCAGCCTTGATGCTCATTAGGTCATCTATTATCTGTATTTTATACATTCATTCCTTAGGACTTCTATTATATATAATTTATATGTTATGTAACATATAACATGTAATACATGAATAATAGTAGACCTTGTGTCTTCAGGAAAAAGAATATCTTCTTTTACTCAAAGGCTGGGAGAATGTTACATCCATTATTACATAGTCTACCTTCTCAAAAGAATGGGGCTTCTGCATTTAAAAATATCTTTACATTTTGTTTTGTTCTTTGTTAGAAATAGATTCTCACTCTGTCACCCAGGCTGGAGTGCAGTGGCATGATCATAGCTCACTGGAGCCTTGAGCTCCTGGGCTCAAGTGATTCTCCCATCTCAGTCTCCCAAGTAGCCAGGACGACCTGTGTGTGCCACCACACTCAGCTAATTTTTACATTTTTTGTAGATTCATCTCCCTGTGTTGCCCACACTGGTCTCAAACTCCTGGCCTCAAGCAGGCCTCCTGTGTCGACTTACCAAAGTGCTGGGATCGCAGGCGTGAGCCACCGTGCACAGCCTTGTATTTTAATGTTTTATTCTTTAAGTCACAGAAAAGTATGTGTGGTATTGACTGTTTACATTTCCAACCATATGAAAAATGTCTATTCATCTTACGGGGTGGTTAGAGGGGCCTTTTTTCACTCGCTCTTGTTCAGATGTTTTGGCATGAGGATAAAATCCGCCGTTAATGTGTGTGCAGTTCTTAGTGACCCAATTTTATTCTGAAATTAAAGACCTGTGTTCAAGGTGGTGTCGTATAGTTGTTACAGTTACACTTTTAGGATTTCACTTAAAGGAGACCTTTTCTTTTAATTTGATTATTGGTTGTTTTTTTTTTTTTTTTTTCATATTTGGCAGTATCACTTTGATGGAGATGCTGTTCTTCAGAATGAGGAAATATTAAGTGCTGTCTTTGTCTTAGCTTTCTAGGACTTCACATATTTTGAAATCCATGAGTATTATTGAATAGATGTACTTGTGTGGTAGCTCATTGTGATGGTTTTATTAGGGTTGATTACAATGCAGTGTACCATCAGCCTTGTCACTTTTTTTGTAAGACTTAGCAGAACTCTAGTAACTTGTCAAATTTTGAATACAAGTAATAAGAAAAAATTACCCTTTTAAAAATTAAATATTGGGCCGGGCGTGGTGACTCACACCTATAATCCCAGCACTTTGGGAGGCTGAGGCTGGTGGATCACCTGAGGTCAGGAGTTCCAGACCAGCCTAGCCAACATGGTGTAACCCCATCTCTACTAAAAATACAAAAATTAGCTGAGCGTAGTAGCATGCACCTATAGTCCCAGCTACGTGGGCAGCTGAGGCAGGAGGATCATTTGAACCCGGGAGTTGAAAGTTGCAGTGAGCTGAGAACACCCCACTGTACTCCAGCCTGAGTGACAGAGTGAGACTCCATTTCAATAAATAATAACAATTTAAAAATTGGCCAGGCATGGTGGCTCACGCCTGTAATCCCAGCACTTTGGGAGGCCGAGGCAGGCGGATCACAAGGTCAGGAGATCGAGACCATCCTGGCTAACATGGTGAAACCCCATCTCTACTAAAAATACAAAAAAACTAGCCGGGCATGGTGGCGGCGCCTGTAGTCCCAGCTACTCTGGAGGCTGAGGCACAGAATGGCGGGAACTCGGGAGGCGGAGTTTGTCGTAAGCAGAGATCGTGCCACTGCACTCCAGCCTGGGCGATGGAGCGAGACTCCGTCTCAAAAAAAAAAAAAAAGAAAGAAAAAGGAAAAATTTAAAAATTGAAATTAAATATTGACAACTAAAACTTGGCAAAATTCTGGCTGGGCGTGGTGGCTCATGCCTGTAATCCCAGCTCTTTGGGAGGCTGAGGCGGGCGGATCACGAAGGTCAGGAGATCGAGACCATCCTGGTTAACATGGTGAAACCCCGTCTCCACTAAAAATACAAAAAATTAGCCGGGCATGGTGGCGCCTGTGGTCCCAGCTCCTCAGGAGGCTGAGGCAGGAGAATGGCCTGAACCCGGGAGGCGGAGCTTGCAGTGAGCCGAGCTCACGCCACTGCACTCCAGCCTGGGCGATAGAGCAAGACTCTGTCTCATTTAAAAAAAAAAAAAAAAACTTGGCTAAATTCTGGAAATTACTTTTCTAGGTTTTAGTAATGGTTTATAAATTGAGTGTTCACATATTTGAGAAGCTGAGAATGCTTGAAGTTTTGAGTAATCCTGATGTTACTGAGAAGGATTAAGTGATCCTGTTGTCCTGTTTGGTTTATGGTTCTGTTTATTTTTCTTGTCAGCCTTTACTGTACCAAAGGCATAAACAGTTGTTCCTCCATTTCCTGGGAGGTTGCTTCTGCCCCCCTGAATATCAAAATCTGCAGATCCTGAAGTTTCTGATATAAAATACTGTTAGTATTTCACATATCCCGTGCACATCCTCCTATATGCTTTAAATTACATGTTACTTATAATACCCCATACAGCGTCAATGCTATGCAGTTATATTGTTTAGGGAATAACGACAAGGAACAAAGTCTATACATGTTCAGTATAGACACAACCACTGGAGGCCTAACTACATTTTCTTTTTCTCTCTCTCTCTCCTTTTTTTTTTTTTTTTTGAGAAAGGGTCTTGCTCTGTAGCCCACGCTGGAGTGCAGTGGTGTGATCTCAGCTTACTTCAACCTCCACATCGTGGGCTCAAACGATCCTCCTGCTTCAGCCTGCCAATTATGTGGGACAACAGGCATGTACCACCACGTGTGGCCAATTTTTGTATTTTTTGTAGAGACGGGACTTTGCCATGTTGTCCAGGCTGTCCTCAAATTCCTGGACTCAAGTGATCTGCCCACCTCAGCCTCCCAAAGTGCTGGGATTACAGGCGTGAGCCACCGTGCCTGGCTTCTAACTGCATTTTCAATCCACGGTTGAGTATAAGAATACAGAGTCTATAAATTCAGAGCTTGCATACAAGAGTAGATAGAATGCCAAGTGCTGGTGGAAATATATAAAAAATAATTTTTTGTTCATTTATGCCATACCTTGTTTTAAAAAATTCTTACAGGCCAGGCATGTTGGCTCACACCTGTATTCCTAGCACTTTGGGAAGCCAAGGCTGGAGGATTGCCTGCGCTTAGGAGTTCCATATGAGCCTGGACAACATGGCAGAATCACATCTCTACAAAAAAATACAACTACTAGCTGGGTGTGGTGGTGTGCACCTGTAGTCTCAGCTACCTGGGAGGCTGAGGCAGGAGGATTGCTTGAGCCTGGGAAGATGAGGCTGCAGTGAGCCATGTTCATGCCACTGGTACTCTAGCCTGGGTGACAAAGCAAGACCCTCTCTCAAAACAACAAAAACTCCAAAGACTTGATTACAGGGACCCCATGGGTCCTCTTGGGTTCCTGGAGTGCACTGGGGTGTCTGTGGGTCCCCTTTACTTGCAGGCACAGTCTTGACAGTTTCTGCATATGCGTTTCACATATACTTTCTGCGGGGACAGTTTCGGGCTTCATCCAATTCTCAGGCCAATTGAGACCCAAATGGGTTTTAACAACACTGATCTCGGGTAATGATTATCGGTATTTTTGGATCATGGACCCCCAACAGTTGAAAATTGAGCACACAGCTGTATGTTTGTGTGTCCCAAAATGCAATTGTGTGTGACTGTATGAATATTTCAGGCATATTGTAAAACATATATAACAGTACACATAAACCTGTCCTCTATTGAAATATTTTGGGTACACGCTCTTTGAAGAACGTTGATCAAGGTCTTACTAGGGTAAGAGTCTTTTTCTGATTGAGCACGACACACACATTTGTATTCCCTAGAATACCCTAGAGTGAGGGTCCTCTGTGGGATTTTGCATTACAAGGTTTCAAGCTGTGTTGTGCTGAAGTATCAACAATCTGTACAAGAGGGCCTGTGGAAATAAGGAAGGACTTAGCAAAATAAATTCTTAATAAATTATTAGCAGATCTGAAAATTATTTGGTTAAAAAAAATTATTTGGCATTTGGGACTTAATACTGTTTACTGTAGAAGATAAAATGAAGCTGAATTTTAAGTCAGTTGATGTTCTTTGAGGAAATGGAAAGTAATTTGAATTTTAAAAAATCCTTACTGAATGGAAATAATCAGAGCACGCAGCACTAAATGGCATTGAAATCTCAATTACTGTTACAAACTTTATGAAATGAGTTAACTCTGATTTTTCTCATTGTTTATTGAAATCAGTTTTTAAAAAGGCTAAATCTGATTTCATTGTATTTCTAGGGTGATAAAAGAAAACGTGGCTGAAGTTACATGAAGTGCAGCTAGCAGTGTAATTCAGGAGTTAAGACCAGAAGTACTGGAATCCTACCTCCTTTCAGGTCAGTCCGTATCTGCTTATTGTTTCCTAACAGAGCCTCGAGTATTCATTTCTTCCTGTTTTTTTTCTAGTCAGTTCTTCCTGATTCTGTAATGAACATAAGTAATGGTCCCAGTGTTTTGAGTCAGTAGAATATTTATGAACAGTTAATAGCTGAAGCTGAATCCTCTACAGCGTGGCCTGTCTTGGTAGGAAACCCTGGCATCACAGCTGGTTTCTCAGCAAGTCGAGAGGGGACTTGAAGCTTTGCCTTGCCCTCCTCTTTCCTTACTGGTGTAATGCGTGTATTGATTTGTCTTCAGGTAAAACTGGACTAAGAGGGGAAATGACATATCACAGATGTCTTGGAGTGAAGAGAGAGAAAAAAAAAGGTCTTTGTAAAAAAATTTCCTATTGATTTTTAATGACCTCCAAATTTAGAATTTTAAACTTGTGCTCCTTTGGAAAGTATGTAATCTTAACAATGGCATCAGAAAATCAGATGCATTCCTCCTCCTCTGCTTTCTGCTTTTTCGGAGAAGGGTCACAATTTTTCTGTTCTTTCGTTATGTCACACATAAAATATTATTGAGACATTAATGCAGCCTTTATAACAAAATTCCCATGGGTACATTGTCATTCTAATAGATCCAGAAAGTATTAAGTGTATTTCTTTTCTAGCTTTTGTCTGGTGTTACTAAACATTATTCTGTCTTATTCTTGCTGCTGCTACAAGTGGTTCTGGGGACAGGAGTGACTGTTGCCCGAGAGCTTCTTGGAAATGAAGGATCTCCCACACAGGACACAGAGTCCTGCAAGTCGAAAAGTCCGTCTTAACTGTGAAGATTAGGTCATGTGTACTAATGAAGACGTTTCTTTTCTAGGATTTGCGCGCACTTGGTTTGAGATGATGTATTCCATAGTTTTGAGAAATTTTACCTTTTCAAAGTATCTGACACCTCATGCAGCACAAAAATGTGACAGCTGTTTTGTATACTATACCCAGCTCTAGAAAGTTAATCTCAGGCTTTGGTTCTCAAGCCTGGGCCCTAGACCAGCAGCATCGTCATCTGGGAGCCTCGGAATGCACATTCTCAATCACACCCTCAGCCTATGCAACAGAAATTTTGAGGATACAAACTAGAGAATAATTTTATATCGTCTATGGAGATTTTATTGAAATTGAACTTTCAAGTTGCTGTATATGTAGGTCTCTGAAAATCCAAAGAACCAATCTCATATATGGGTAAGGAAATACATGGGAAAGGAAAAATGTGTACATAAGCTATCTGTGGCATAGAGCAAGCCTGTGGCATTCTGTGGCCTTGAGAGAGAAGGGGAGAGAGATTTTAAGCTTATCAAGTAGATTTGTCATTGGAACTTTAGGATTTTTAAATTTTGGTTAAAAAATGTGAATACTGTTACTTCAGTTAAAAGAACTCCTTTTATAGATTTTACTTTCTAACAAAGTGAGTGAAAAGAAACCAGTTCCCTCTAGAAACACGTAAAGTAAGTAAAATTATTAAAATGCCAAATATTTAATTCTTGTGACAGTGAATCTACTTTTATTATAAAGAGTTAAGAAGGCCAGGCACGGTGGCTCACGCCTGTAATCCCAGCACTTTGGGAGGCTAAGGCAGGTGGATCACAAGGTCAGGAGATCGAGACCATCCTGACTTAACATGGTGAAACCCCGACTCTACTAAAAATACAAAAAAATTAGCCGGGCGTGGTGGCGGCCGCCTGTAGTCCCAGCTACTCGGGAGGCTGAGACAGGAGAATGGCGTGAACCTGGGAGGCGGAGCTTGCAGTGAGCCGAGATCGCGCCACTGCACTCCAGCCCGGGCAACAGAGCGAGACTCTGTCTCAAAAAAAAAAAAAAAAAAAAAAAAAGAGTTAGGAAATTGCCATTTCCATGACAGTTTCCTCCTTCAACAATCTTAATATCTTAATATTGAATTTATTTAGGTCTGCTGGTCAGTGATTCTAGTCTAGCAAATTACTTTAGGACTGAAAGCTCTTGTTTCTTTAGAAAAATATACTATGGAGATTAGATCCTGTTTACTAGTGAAGACTCTGTCTCTTTTCCAGGTCAAAACATTTTGTGGGAAATATCCTGTTCGTGACCTGGAAGAAACAAGACAGAAAACAAATCTTACCTCACTTACGAATTTCTTACTCCATACAAGCAGTTCATGGATGTCTGGGCAATCATAGCACTTTCCATTTAAAAACATGCTACAGGGGCACATTTTCTGTGGTTAAAAATGATCTCTGGAATAATTGTAAACTGCAGTTTTCCTTTTTATCGAGGGTTTTGGCTTTTTATATGTAAATTAAATCAAGATGTTACCAACTCCTTGGTGTGGTGGTCTTGATGGCTCACGCTGGAAAGTAGTGTGGCAGCAATGCTCAAATTCAGAATAGCCAGCAAATCCCTCCGTTCAGCGCTCTGACTGGGAACCATTAGAGGGTTTTAAAAACCATCCCTCATAGCCCACAATTTTCGGTTAACTCTCAAAGTTGGGAATAAGCAAACTGGCATTGTTGGGAGAAAAATCGTTTTTACTGAAGCATGAACTGGCTCAGGCAAGCAAATAGCGGTAGTTGGCACAGGAAGGCGAGCGTGCTGTGGGGATGCGTGGAGGCGTCACCTTCAAAACTAAAGTGGTGCCAGGAGCACCGATGAGTCCTTTACAAATGGGATCTTGTTCCCATTTGACTGAATTGTGAACCACTTCACTGTCTTCACAGTCTCGCCACTTACCTAATGAGGCTTTTCTGAACCTAGGAGACGTCTAGAAATCCCAGCTTTGCTGTGTAAGGACCATTAGCTGCAAGTCGGTGGAAGTCTATAGAAAGCAGTCTGAATTCCATAGTGGTCTTGACTTAGCAAGGATTTGGGACAAGTCTAAAACTTCAGACTTAAAGCTTTGACACGTTAACTGCATAAAATATTGAACATTTTGAACTTCTTTAGCCTTTGTCAGTTCGCGACCCAGGTTTTTCAGTCTGTTGTATGTTTCCTGCTTTTCCTTGTTTTGCTAATCATCCTCCTTGAGCTTCTCCACTGTGTTTATTCTGGGCATCCAATCCAGCCTTTCCCGGTGTGTGCTTCCTCAGGCCCCTGGTTCACATGCCGAGTGCCCTGTAAGCCTCGCTGCACTAGTGTATGCTCACCAACAGTCTGCTTCGTTTGGGAGGGTGCTTCACTTTCAAAGCTACCCAGTACGACGCGTACAGTGCAGCACAAAGCGGAACTCAGGAAGTAGCACCTGAGCTTCAAATAGACTTTCCTGATCATTCTACTGAGTAAGAGTCTCCACATTTAAGAATCAAGATAGGATTGACTTGTGAGGACAGTGTATTTTTGGACTGAAACCAAACTCCTCATGTCTAATTGTAGTTATTCAATGTTACCAGAATCCCTATTTTTGGCAGAACAGACAAAAGAATGTGTAGTGTACTTTCTACTACAGCCATTACAGCAAACTAGATCTGAGTGCTGTTGCTAGTAAATAGCCAGATTATGTTGTCCTCACCCAAGTAGACAGTGGAAAGGAACAACGGCAGAGGACATGACGCGCGTCTAGCCGCAGCCATGCATCCCACGTGTGGCGACCGCAGCCCTGAGAGCACCTGTCCTAGGCCGTGAACCAAATCATGTCCTAGTGCTCGATCCCATGTGTGACGATCGCAGCCCTGAGAGCACCTGTCCTAGGCCGTGAACCGAATCATGTCCTAGTGCTCGATCTGACTTCATAGCTTTGCAGGGGAAAAGACTAGGAGATCTGTGACATGACTAGGTCACATAAGGTGTGCTGCACACACTTTACACTACACGAAGTTGCCCTGGGCCTTGACCTATAGTTCTAAACGTCATCTATAAACCTTTTGGTAAGGTGCTGCCTGAGAACTGCTTTGTTTTTCAGAGGGATCATTGCTCAGGCTTTTTTCCCCAAGAACTTGAACTATTTGGCGATTCCTGTTTGGTTTGTATCTTAGACAGCCCTGCCTTCCTGATGAACAGTCGGTCACCTTCTCACGTGTTCCTGACACTGTTTGTTCACATCTGTAGCTGGACTCCTGCTGTCTCCTTTACTGCTCCTGACCTGCACCGCGAACTCAGATCTCCCTGTTCCCCCGGAAAGCTATGAAATCAGATATACTGCATGATTCAATTTAGTTGAAAAAGTCCAATCTTGGCCCTCACTTAGCTAGAAAACCACAAATATCTACTGCCTTTTAAAGTTTTGAGACTTGAGACATAAAAGGAAACAGACCAACATCATAGAGTTTTATTGACAAAACCATAGGAAAATGCAGTTTTAGGATGTAAAGTAAAAATGGTTCTCTGAAATATCTACACAAACGTGAATGCTGAAAAGTTTTCATTAAAATCGTATTTCATACAATTATAAACTAATGAGGAACAAAACAATTGTCACCTTCTCCATAACCCAGCCTGAGCGCGACTGACGCTTGCCTTGAGCAGCAGGAACTCTTCCCAGACAAGGCGGCGGCTCCCACACAGCAGCCAGGCTTCGTTGTTACCTAAGCTCCATCTTCCCAGTTGGTGTTCAAAACTAGGGCACAAGATCTGGCTTTTCAAAAAAAACGTATAGACTCCAAGAAACTTTTTTTTTTTTTTTTTTTTGAGACAAGGTCTCATTCTGTCACCCAGGCTGGAGTGCAGTGGCCTTTGACGGCTCCCTGCAGCCTTGACCTCCCCGGCTCAAGCAATCCTTTCACCTCAGTCTCCGAGTATCTGGGACCACAGGTGTGTTCCACCCCGTGTTACCCAGGCTGGTCTCGAACTCCTGGGCCTAAGCAATCCTCCAGCCTCAGCCTCCAAAGCACTGGGATTATAGGTGTGAGCCTGTAATATTCTTTAGGCCTCATAGTGTACAAGTGACTACAGCACATTTACAAGTGACTGCCATCTCCAGAATGTGTGGCCACTGTCTACTAGAAAAAGATCAGGCCTCCCAACCCTTTCAGGGACAGCAAACCCACACTTTATTTGGTGCTTGGGTAACTTGAATATAACACGGCTCCCCTTGCTGTAAGCAAATGCTTTAGAGCTGAACTTTTTCTTTTTCTTTTTTTTTAAAGCACAGAAGTTCACCAGGGCTAGTAGAAATTTCAAGGAGAATCGCTTGAACCCAGGAGGCGGAGGTTGCAGTGAGCTGAGATCGTGCCATTGCACTCCAGCCTGGGCAACAAGAGCAAAACTCCGTCTCCAGAAAAAAGAAAGTAAGTCTTTAATTTTCTTAAATAATCCTCATATGTACTATCCACATTGTGGAAAAACTGAAATACGCAGTCTGGACACTGCACTGAGATTCCAGTATACTGGCACAGACACAGCTATGTCGCATCTTACAGACTACAACAGACAACAGGCTTAACTGCAAGAGGTTTACAGACAAAACTTTACATAGATGTGCTAGAAGAATTCCAAACTGCTGTCAGAGAGAGTGTAGGAATGGGTCTGAAGAGAACTCCACCCAATCCCTGCTGTTTGGTCACTGCAGCTGCACTCTGTATGCACCTATTAGCAACTTAACCTGTTGAAAGAAAAGAATGCAGCTGTCAGTACAGATCCAGATTTCCCCTTTCTTACAAGAAAAAAACCACACATGGCCAAGATCTGCTTCTATTATTTGGCAGTATTTTCAAGTTGCTTATCAATTTACATTGTTAGATCATTGCCATTTTAATTCAAGAAATAATTCCAAGTGCTATTAATTTTATATTATTGTTTTATTAGCGAGACTATTCTGTCCAGCTTCCTTTCATACAAGAGAGGTTAGGGACCGGCCTAAAGACATATATTTGGCAATTCCATACCAAGGCCTAGAACATGATTCAGATGGCTCCACCCTCTAGAGAGGCGTTCTTCTCAGCTGCATCCTAGTCCTTTTCCTGCTGCATTATTTGTCTGACACACTAGACTGAGAGAGGGTGCGCCTAGCATCCCTACCCTAGGGAGTGCGTCTCTAGGACAGGTACACCAGGATTCTTGGAATTTTTTTCTAATGCTGATAAAGTAATCTGGAGTAACAACTTGAGTACTGACACTACATATGAAGAAAGGATTGTCACCTTGGCAGAGGGTGCTTCTGTCAACCTTATGAAGAGTTTATTGGGACCTGCAATAGGGCTGAATGAGTAAACAAAATGACTGTCCTACAATGGAAAGAGAAAAAAAAAATCAGTGCTTTTTCAAACTTACACCAGAAACTACTAAAACAGCAATGATGTAAAAGAATCATAAATAAGTTTTGTTTTTTATTTCATAAGTCAAGATGCTGTGGAGGAGGCCAATCGCTTGAGCCCGTAAGTTTGAGACCAGCCTGACCAACACAGTGAAACCCCATCTCTACAAAAAATAAAAAAATTAGCCAGATGTGGTGGCGTGCATCTGTAGTCCCAGGTAGTTAGGAGGCTGAGGCGGGAGGATTGCTTGTGCCTGGGAAGTCAAGGCCCCAGTGAGCTGTGATTCGCGCCTGGTCAACAGAGTGAGACCCTGTCTCAAAAAAAAACAGGTGACTTACTTTTCCCTTGATTTATTAAAAATATACAAATGACAAAATCAGTCCAGGAAACTGGATTAGAATGCACCCAGCAATATACAGTACAAGTGCTAAAATGGCTATATATCTAGGGAATTTTGCTTAATTCAGTCCAAGGAAAGAATTCTAAAAGTGGCAAAGTATGTACAAAGAATCTTTGAGATCATTAAGAATTTATATTCAGAACAATGCTAGCCCTAAGACAGTATGGTAAGCACAATTTAAGGCAAAAAAACAAACAGGAAAAATTCCTACTGAGAAAATTTAGGATAATTACGGATATTGCCTCATTCCCAACCACTATTATTGGATTATTTTCTGAATGATTATATTAAGACACAGGAATTTAAAGTCACCTATGCTTTTGATTAGAAGAATTTACTTTTCAATAGTGAAATACAGAGTATCTTACCAGAAAAACAGGAAGTTGAAATTTATCATTCAGAACTACAGCTTGTACACTACATGGTCCACAGAGCCGAGCAATAACTTCTTTACCCAAAAAGTTTGCATGGAAGATAAACAGCAGGATGCCAGAGCCTGAAAATGGGAGATGTGTGTGAATTACTTCAAATGCAACCTTCAGCCCCCAGAGAGAGGAACACTCAACGCCAGATGGAAGCAGGCCCCTGAGCTGGACCTGGTCAGACAGGCATCACCCACTCCGCCTGGAGGCTCAGAGGAGGTTGGCCCTCTCAAAGCTTGTGTCACCTGGCATTTCTCAACCCACAGAACTCTTTTTACCTTTTGCCCAAGTAATCTCTACTGACAGTTCCTGGAAAAGACTTAAGTATGATTTTCTACACTGAAGTTATTAAACTGGTATTTTAAATATGACTGCTGAATGTGCACATGTCCCAGGGACATTCCTGTGGTGGGCACCTTTGGGTGTGGGTCTGAGTGGTTTTCCATTTTCTTCCACATACCTTTTGCCCCTTCCAATTTTTCTGATTAATACATACCCAAAATTGGCCAGGCATGGTGGCTCATGTCTGTAATCCCAGCACTTTGGGAGGCAGAGGCGGGCAGATCACTTGAGGCCAGGAGTTCAAGACCAGCCTGGCCAACATAGTGAAACCCCCGTCTCTACTAAGAATACAAAAATTAGTTGGGTGTGGTGGCGGGCACCTGTAATTCCAGCTACTCGGGAGGTTGAGGTAGGAGAATTGCTTGAACCTGGGAGGTGGAGGTTGCAGTGAGCCGAGATCGCACCACTGCACTCCAGCCTGGGGAACAGTGTGAGACTCCATCTCAAAAAAAAAAAAAAAAAAAAAAAAAGCTGGTGGATGCAGACATTATACAAATGCTGAGAAAACTGCAAGTCCAGCAGTTGTAGGTGTCAGTGGGTGCTCAGGTTCACCAGGGCCAGCTCAGGGCATCGCTCGCTGGTGCTCACACCTGGCAATGCAGACGGTCCACCTAAATAATCAAAACTATAAATTACTGAACAGGCACGGTGGCTCACGCCTGTAATCCCAGCACTTTGGGAGGCTGAGGCAGGCAGATCACTTGAGGTCAGGAATTTGAGTCCAGTCTGGCCAACATGACCCCATCTCTACTAAAAATACAAAAATTGGCTGGGTGTGGCAGTGGGCGACTGTAGTTCCAGCTACTCCAGAGGCTGAGGCAGAAGAATCACTTGAACCCAGAAGGCAGAGGTTGCAATGAGCCAAGATGATGCCACTGCACTGCAGCCTGGGTGACACAGGGAGACTGCCTCTCAAAACAGCAGCAACAACAAAACCTGATAAATTATGATCCCACAATGTCAAGTTCTCTCAACACTAAGATGCTACAAATGGCTCTTTCAGGGGCAGGGTTATATGTTCTTAAATATGTTTTCCAGGAATGAATACTAAATTGTATTATACGTATGAACTTGCAATAAAATAAAATATGATTTAGAATTTATTTGAAAAAGTGAACTTGAATAAACTGGTAAATATTGACAACCAACAACAGAGTATTAGTCAGTGCTAAACAGAAACGCACTGTCAAGACATGGAAGGAATCTGGGATGCCTACTGCTAAATGAAAGAGGCCACTTAACAAAACCGGGAACGGGTTTCTAAGCAAAAAAAGCCAGAGCCCAGCTGCCTCCACATCTGCCTGGCACCGCGTGTAGAGAGGGCCAGCCGCAGTCCTGCTGGAGAGGGGCTGGAGCAGAGGCTAGAGGGGGAAGTGGCTTCTCCATCCCTTCCACCGGCTTTACTACAGGGCAAGACTCTTTTTTTCTCTTTCAAAAAGGGCAAAGACTTTACAAACAACACAATTCAGGGAAAAAACATTCCAGGCTCAGAATCTTCATAACTCAGACACTGACTTTTAATAAAACTCACTGAGCACCAGTGTGATTCGGAAGCCCTAACTTCAGTGCTCTAAACGGGGGTTAAAACAGGGATGGGGTGTCAGCCGCTGTCTCTTCAGAGTAGCTCTGCTGTTAACTGGTTTGCAGAATTATTACACAGAACGGAATTTCCTTAAAGTTTGTTCAAAGAAAGGATTCTGTCTAACAATCTGTTACTATCGTGTCACGTTTCACACAGGAAAGTGAAGGGAGGCACAGGCTTACCTTCTGGTATGTTCTGTGGGGGTTTGTAATTGAAATCTGTTGAAAAATCTGGCCCCTCACAGAGTCGATGACATGCGATTGGAAACACTGGTTCCAGCAGAGCAAGGCGAGCTTCGAAGTAATCCTTTATTGTCTCTTCTGCTACTCTTGAAAGTCTAAGGAGAAAAAAGTAGTACACGTTGTTAACATTAATGTAGAAAAGAACCACAAGCCTGTCGAAAACCAGTGAGGCATTCCCAGGCCAGCCTTCCAAAAAAGAGCTGCAGCTCTGCCTGCCTCCTTCCCAGCTCGACTTCCACCCAGCGGCACCCGACAACCTGTGTATCTGTCTTGTCCATCTCAGTGGAACTGAAGTTCTAAGAGGGCAAGTCTCTTCCCCCACTGCCGTTTCCATCTCCCCAGTCTTTAGAACAGTGCCTGGCACAAAGTCTATGCTTGATACATAGTTGTCTAATGAATCAGTGGAAAAATCAGAAAGGGGAAGCCCTCAGCCTGGGCAAATCAGGAAAGTGGGTCACTTTACTTCCTGGATCTATGCAGACACCCCATGTGACCAGAGGAGTCGGGACTGCAGCCATCAGCAGCACCGTGTGCAACAGGCGCAGTCCCAGAGGCCCACCCGAGACCTGTGACGTAAACACCGCCTTGAGTTCGCTACTGTCTGGTATGTGCGAGTTTGTGATGTGTGTTGCCAAAAGAGTTCTGAAGTGATAGAAATACTAAATTGTGTTGTAAGTATGAACTTGCAATAAAATAAAATATGATTTAGAATTTATTTGAAAAAGAATGAACTTGAATAAACTGGTAAATATTGACAACCAACAACAGAATATTAGTCAGTGCTAAACAGAAACGCACTATCAAGACATGGAAGGAATCTGGGATGCCTACTGCTAAACGAAAGAGGCCAACCTGAAAAGGCCAAATAATGTGTGATTCCAACTGTTCTGGAAAGGGCAAAATATGAAGGCAGTAAAATTACTGGTGGTTGTCAGGGGCTGGGGGAGGGAGGGATGAAGAGGTGGAAAACAGGCTTATTCCGGCAGTGAAACTATACTGTGTGACACTGTGATGAGGGACGGATGCATGACGTCTCTGTCCAGATCCACAGAATGTGTAACACTACGAGTGAGCCCTGATGTCAGTGCTGCGCTCCGAGGATTACGCGATGTCCCTGTAGTTCCTCCGCTGTAGTAATGTCCTGTGGTGGGCGACTGGGATCTCCACAGCTGGGGAGGATGGCGGTGGGGAGGCTTGGAAATTTGTACCTTCCACTCAACTTTGCTGTGCTTAAAAGTGTTGCAAAAAATAAGGTATATTAAAAAGAAAGACGAATGTTTAAAGTTTCTTTTTTTTGGTGGGGGTACAGAGTCTTGCTCTGTCACCCGGGCTGCAGTGCAATGGTGTGATCTTGGTTCACTGCAACCTCTGCCTCCCGGGTTCAAGCGATTCTCCTGCCTCAGCCTCCTGAGTAGCTGGATTACAGGTGCCCGCCACCACGCCTGGCTAATTTTTGTTTTTTTAGTAGAGATGGGGTTTCACCATGTTGGCCAGGCTGGTCTCAAACTCCTGACCTTAAGTGATCCACCCGCCTCGGCCTTCCAAAGTACTAGGATTACAAGCGTGAGCCACTGTGTCCGGCCAAGTTTAAATGTTTTAAAGAAAACCTTTGCTAACCAAATTAAGAGCATACTTAATATTTAAGGAAAATACTCCCAGATAGGCCAGTGTTAAGTTTGAAATTTTCTGAGTTAAATAACTTGCAGAAAAATAATTCATATGCCATTTATTAAATCTGTGATTTACTGGAAACAAAACCATCAGGACTTGTGCTGGATGTTTTTCTGAGCAGTTACGCAGAGGCCGCTCCAATGATAATGTGTCCACACGAACAGCGTATGATATGGGACTCAACACGGCACAGTCGCTTGCCACTTACGTCTCTAAATGACTCTTCAGCAAGTCGTACACAAGCACGTTGTTAGACTGCTTCGCGAAGTGCAGGGCACTGTTCTGGTGCTTTGACAAAATGTTGCAGTCAGCTCCACATTCAATCACAAGTCGTACAATGTCTGAATTTCCTCTTTTACAGGCCTGCGTCAGGTGAAAAGGAGGAACAATTACTCAGTTGTAACCTGTGGTAACTACCCATGGGTGCTGGTCCCTTCTCCATACATGCCTGGGCTCTGTGAAGAGGGCACAGGCCACGTTGCTTAAATGCAAGTGGGGAGTATCTTTGACTCAGGGGCCAACACAGAAATCTGTGTGGTACGTTCAGGTTAATTTCTTCAGTGAGTTTTCAGGAAATGGGCAACTTCAAAAAGGATGCTTCAGTCCCAAGACAGAACAGACACCAGGCGCAGCCCCTTCTGCCCTCTGTCCATGCTATGCTGTCCCCTCGAGCTAGCCCCTCGGCAGAGGCACCGAGATACACAAGCCTGGCCCTCACTATAGACAGCTTTGTCTCGGGAATCTCAAAAACACCTCTCAGGACCACAAAATAACCTCGAAATGTCGCCAGCTGCTGCTTTAAAGGAGATGACCCAAGCACAGATAGGAATCTGAATTTGCAAACCTACGGTGCAGCTGTGGCACAGACCGTTTCCTTGTCTGCCACTCACTGGCCACGTGACTGCAGATAAGTCCCGTAATTCTTCTGTAATTCTTCTGAGTCTCCCGTTTCCATTTGTGAAAAGCGGATGGGGTCCCTGTGCCGCCCTTACCCTGTGAGGCAGATGCTGGGGCAGCAGCGTCACTGTACAGAGCGGCCTCCAGGAGCAGCGGCGCTCCGCCACACTACCCGCCCGCCACGATGCCCGTCCGCCACACTACCCGCCCGCCACGCTGCCCGGACAACGGTGTCAGCCAGCGCTTCCGGCAGGGGCGGCTCTGCCATCAGATCAGCGGAGCCTGGGCAATGCCTGAGACCTTTCGGGTCACCCCGGGTGTCCACTGCAGAGGTGAGGGACACCGTCCAGGACAGGCTCGGGACAGACCGAGTGGCCCTGCTGGGACCGACAGAGTCTGCAGCAACAGGTGAGGGCAGTCCCCCTGCACCTGCCCACTCTGGTAAAGGACCCATGTTCTACACTTTCTCCTCCGATGAAAGGGTTTTAATTTCTGAAAATCACTATGTTTACATCTTCTCATTCTAAAACTCAAAAAAACTTCAACATGCTAAATCCTGAAAGCAATTAAAATACAGCTTTTGAGGAACAAATACTTAAACCTCATGGCAGATAAAGGCAGTCTACTGAATTCAGACCCAGTGAAGTAAGTGCGACGTGTCCTCTCAGGGAAGAAACGCCACGTCCTCCCAGACCCACTCCAGAGCCCTCTCCCCTCTGCACCCCACTCCCAGCTCAACACAGGCACCTCGGCCTCCGCACCGCACTCCCAGCTCAACACAGGCACCTCGGCCTCCGCACTGCACTCCCAGCTCAACACAGGCACCTCGGCCTCCGCACCCCACTCCCAGCTCAACACAGACACCTTGGTCTCTGCAGCCCACTCCCAGCTCAACACAGGCACCTTGGCCTCTACACCCCACTCCCAGCTCAACTTTCAGGCACCTTGGCCTCTGCAGCCCACTCCCAGCTCAACACAGACACCTTGGTCTCTGCAGCCCACTCCCAGCTCTCACAGGCACTGTGGACTCTGCACCCCACTCCCAGCTCAACACAGACACCTTGGTCTCTGCAGCCCACTCCCAGCTCAACACAGGCACATGGCCTCTGCACCCCACTCCCAGCTCAACACAGACACCTTGGCCTCTGCACCCAGCTCAACACAGACACCTCAGCACGGCATGCCACCTTGGCCTCTGCACCCCACTCCCAGCTCAACACAGACACCTTGGCCTCTGCACCCCACTCCCAGCTCAACACAGACACCTCAGCACGGCATGCAGCCCTGAGGTGCTGACCCGAGGCTCCCACTTGCCTTCTGCCTGGTGCTGGGGGAGGCGCTGCCAGCCTGAGGACCACTTTCTCCTCCTCTGCTTCTCCCCAGGCAGCTTCTTTCCTTCTATGACCCTTTTCTCCTTTCCACTTCCCCATGGATGACCCCACTCTCAACCTATGGCTACAGTCACTGTCGCAGAGCTGGACAGCAGCAAACCTGAATCTCCAGCCCACACCCTCTCCTGAGCCTAGATTCCCCAGTGAAATGTGCAGAGGTGACATCTACACGACCCAATACCCAACTCCCTCCATCTGTGCCACCTGGGCCCCCAACTTAGGAAATGGGGTGACCAGGCGTCCCCTCCAGTTACCAAGCTCTGTGAACTGTACCTCTTACCAAGTGGCCAGCTCACCCACTCCATCCCTCCTGCCACGACCCAGGTACAGATTTCTGTTATTTCACATAACCTGGAGACACAAGTCTGCAAACTATCCTCCTCCCAATCTGTGCCCCTTCTGTACTACAAAGCATTAAAACACACAAATGAAAACCCTCTAATCTGATTCTACCCTTCTTCAGCTTCATCCTTGCTGTGGCTCCCCAGGGCCCTCTGGACGAACTCCCTAAGGCTTCGCATGAGCAGGCTTCTGTGCCCGCCCACCTCTCTCATGCTCTAGATGCATCTGCATGGCTGCAGTTCAGGGTGCACCGCGCCATCTGTCACCAAGATGATGCTTTGAGAGGCCACCACTGCTCCACATGAGACAACCACAGAAACAAATGAAGGGAAACAAAAGACAAACCTCAGGCTCCTGAACAAAATGAACATTTCCATGAACCAAAAGGAAAGTGCTTGAGGCCAGGAGTGCAAGCCAAGCCTGGGCAACACAGTAAGACTTTGTCTCTAGTAAGAAAAAAGATGGCTGGGTGTGGTGGCTTGCACCTGCAGTCCTAGCTACTGGGGACGCTGAGGTGAGAGGCACTTGAGCTCGGGAAGCCGAGGCTGCAGTGAGTCATGATGGCGCCACTGTACTCCAGCCTGGGCAACAGGAGGAGACTGTTTATGGGCCTTGTGCGGCAGGAGGACAAGAGACAGGTGGTCCGGGCCATCAGAAGACGGTTCACGGTGAGACTGGATGCCAGGTGCCCTGCAGACCCAGGGCCTGGCTGTGCTCTTTTGCTTACTGGGGACAGAGGCTGGAATGGGCGCTGTGGGCAGGCTCCTGCTGGGCTCAATGGCTTACATGGAGCCAAGCATCCCAGGGAGGAAAGAGGACAGGTGCCCACAGGGAGCTGAGCTGGCCACTGCTGGCTGAGTGTCTGGACCTGCTATATCCTAATAGCATCCTGGGCCAGGAACCCACAATTGCTGCAGAGGAACCAACCAGACCGTGCAGGGTCCCCTAAGACAAATGCCAAGCGGTCGACCTTTCTTTCAAAACCTGTCTGCAAACCACGTTCCGGAACACAGGAACAAGCCCGAGGCGACAAATTCACCAACATCAAATGAGGAACACAGAGTGCACGAGGAGCTCCGCCCCACACCCAGGCCTGCTCCTTCCAGGCCGGCAGCCTCCCTGCTGCTCCAGCTGCAGCCAGAGTGCTCCCTCCCTGCTGACTTGACTGCCGTTTAGGATACAGTGTGGCACCTGCCTCATCCACCCTACAGATTGCCAGGGTCCCCAAGGCCAAGCTCGGAGCACTTCCCTGTGACCTCATGGCTCTCTGTGCTGTTCTGATCACACCACTGCCCGCTCTGAGCTCACTGCTGCCCTGCCAGCCCGCTTCTCCTCCTCCCCTGCAAGCAGCTGGACTCCAGGACTGTCTTGGTACCCCCTCTGTTCTCAGGCCCCAGCACAGCGCCGGGCAGTGGCAGATGCCAACACAAGCACCTGCCAAGGTACTGAAGAAGGGACAACCCACAGGAGGGACTTACCTTCATCAGTGCGGTCTCACCGTTGCTCTGCTGGACGTTGACAAAAGCTCCCGCTTCCAAAAGAATAGCCACTGTTGTTAAAAAGTTCTGTGAAAAGGAAAAAAGCAAATTTAATTCCCCAAATTATTTAAAAGACAGTGTTCAGATAGTTTGAAATTCTTAAGTCATCAGGAAAAATACCCAGCAGGTTCTATCACAAGTGGTTGTGGGTCACAGCCTTGCTGTGGGGCCGCGGGGGTGAGCCCTGCCTCACAGAGGCCCAGATTTCGCCACGCACTGTGCTGCCAGCAACTGCTACGTAAACGGAACCGCTAGCTCCAACGTAAGAACCTCTACATGTAAATCCTTTAAAAAGATAATATATGGGAACATTTCAATTACATTATTAACCAAAAGGAATACTAATACCATTCGAAAAAATTTTAAATTATTTAAGATGAAAATTAATATTAGTACTTTAATCAGAGTATTTTAATGTAAATTACTTCTAACGAGATAAATCACATTTTGAAATGTGATTACAATGCACTACTGATGATAAATCCATTCATTACATATCACAGATCAACTGAAACATGAAGTTAAAAAGTTCCTCCAGCTGGGGGCGGCGGCTCATGCCTGTAATCCCAGCACTTCAACCGAGGCGGGAGGATTCCTTGAGCCCAGGCTGGGCAACACAGTGAGACCATGTCTCTACAGACATTTTTAAAACCAGCCAGGTGTGGTGGTACACACTTAGGCCCAGTGACTCGGGAGGCTGAGGCAGGAGGACTGCTTGAGACCAGGAGTTCCCAGCCACAGTGAGTTATGATGGTGCCACTGCACTCCCGTCTGTGCCACAGATGGAGACCTTATTTCTAAAACGAATTTTTAAAAAAGCTATGGGACTGTGTGATGGCCGAGCACAGTGGCTCACACCTGTAATCCCAGCACTTAGGGAGGCCAAGGCGGGAGGATCACGAGGTCAGGAGATCGAGACCATCCTGGCGAACACGGTGAAACCCCGTCTCTACTAAAAATACAAAGAAATTAGCCAGGCATGGTGGCGGCGCCTGTAGTCCCAGCTACTCGGGAGGCTGAGGCAGGAGAATGGCGGGAACCCAGGAGGCGGAGCTTGCAGTGAGCTGAGATCCAGCCACTGCACTGCAGCCTGGGCCACAGAGCGAGACTCCGTCTCAAAAAAAGGAAAGTGTTATTTCATAATATAATATGACAATAATAAAATACTATTAGAAAGTAGAACTGGAGCAGACCAGGCGCGGAGGCTCACTCCTGTAATACTAGCACTTTGGGAGGCCAAGGCGGGTGGGTCACTTGAGGTCAGGAGTTCGAAACCAGCCTGGCCAATATGGCAAGACTGTCTCTACTAAAAATACAAATATTAGCTGGGCGTGGTGGTGGGCACCTATAATCCCAGCTACTAGGGAGGCTGAAGCAGGAGAACTGCTGGAACCCGGGGGGCAGAGGTTGCAGTGAGCTGAGATCGTGCCACTGCACTCCAGCCTGGGGGACAGAGCAAGACTCTGTCATTAAAAAAAAAAAAAAAAAAAGCTATGTGGCCATGTGATTGCTATATTTCACTACCAAAGAGGTCCTCTCAGTCCATCGGCAGGAATGAAAGCTCTGAAACGGATGCACGAGAAGCCACAAACCTTCTCTGCGGCATGAATGAGGGCAGTGGTCCCGTTTTTCTGCCGACCGTTCACTTTCGCGCCTTTTGTTATGAGGAGTCGCAGGAGGTCGTCCTGCCCTCCCGCGGCGGCAAGCATCACCAGTGTCATTCCACTGGAATCCTGTGTTGGTTTTGTTAAATAAAAAACGTGTTAATCTTTAGAACAATTTCAGAACCAAGTCTTCTCACTTGAGATGTTTCAATGTGAAATCACTAACGGGCATTGATTTACACATCTACTTAGGATTTTCGCTAAAATATCCCAACCATCATAAACTAGTAGCTTTTAGAATATTTTTTCACATATCCCAACCACCATAAACTAGTAGCTTTTAGAATATTTTTTCACATATAAATGTTTGCATAAAATTTTACGCTCTCCTCTATAGGCCTACCTCGTTTCACCGAGCTTTGCTTTACCGAGCTTCACAGGGACTGTGTTTTTTACAAATTGAAGGTCTGTGGCAACCCTGCCACAGGCACGTTTATTCACACCAGTACCCCACAGCATGTGCCCATTTTGTGTTGTTGTGTCAGCCATTTTTAGCAATAAAGTGTTGTAAATTAAGATATATAGTTTTTTTAAAAGATGTAATGCTATTCACAGACTACAGTATAGTGTAAACCTAACTTTTATATGCACGAGGAAACCAACAAATTTGTGTGACTCGCTTTATTCCAACAGTCTGGAACCAAACCCACAATATCTCCAAGGAATGCTTGAATTTTTTTTTGTTGGTGGTGTTTTTCTTTCTTTCTTTTTTATTGAGACAGGGTGTTGTTATGTCAGCCCAGGCTGGTCTCAAACTCCTGGGCGCCTGCCTCAGCCTCGAGTAGCTGAGATTACAGGTGCACGCCACCACGCCCAGCTCTCATTTTTGTATCTTCTTTGATTTTGTTTTGTGTATGAAATCCTAAAGGTACATGAAAAGTTTGTACCATATAAAATGAACAGTGAATTTCTGGGGGGCATATGATCAAATTTTCTACCTAGAAAATCCAAAACAAGTAACTTAAAAACTAGAAGAGAATTTCATTAAATGACTAGAGTCACACACACATATGTGTACAAAGACATCCATAGCTTTACCATTGACAAGCAACCAGTTAGAAAACAAAATGTAAATGAAAAAAGACTAATGACCATAATAAAACATAAAACATACAGGCATACATCTAGAAGAAATGTGCAATGTCTCTATGAATGAAAAACCCACAGAACTTTGCTTAAGGGTATAAATGAAGAGCTGAGTGATTAGAATTACCATATTCATGGACAGAAGATGCAAAATGTAAATAAAAATGCCAATTCTCAATCTATATTATTTCATGCAATTTTAATCAAAATCCCAATAATTTTGTGAATTGTAATCCCAAAGGATTAAACCTAAAAAATCCACAGCGAAGCTACAAAACTAAAGAAGAAAATATGAAAATATTTTCTAAGCAAGACAAGATCCCCAAAAGCCATAAATGTAGAAGATCGACAGACACAATTGCCTAAAAAGAAAAATCTTCAAGCAATACAAGACTGAAACACAAAACCTAAAATCTAGGGAGAAAGGGCCAATATACTTCCATTACAAAACCCATACGTATCAGTATGAAACACGCCAGCTACAACAGAGATGGACAGATGTTGGAAATGGGGCAACCATCAAAGAAACACAAATGGCCATAGGAAAATGGTCTCACTCTCTGCTCTCAGAGTGGCAGAGGGTAAAACCACATACAAAACAGGTAGCCATAACCAAACCAAACCAAACCATCACTTTTCGGGGGGTAAGGGGGTTCGAATTAAAGGGACCATAATTGTACATTTATAGGGTTCTGCAATTTTTTAATTTTACAAAGTGAACGTGCATTTTTTTTTTTTCTGAGACAGTCTTGCTCTGTTGCCCAGGCTGGGGTGCAGTGGTGCGATCTCAACTTACCACAGCCTTGACCTCCCAGGCTCAGGTGATCCTCCCACCTCAGCCGCCCAAGTAACTGGGACCAAAGGCGTATACCACCATGTCCAGCTAATTTTTGTATTTTTTGTAGAGTTGGGGTTTCACCATGGAGCCCAGGCTGGTCTCCAATTCCTGGCCTCAAGCAATCCTCCTGCCTCGGCCTCCCAAAGTGCTGGGATTATAGGTGTGTGCCACCACACCCAGTCTTTTGTAATTAAAATAAATGAAAAATTAATTTGAATTCTTTCAAGAGTTACTTTCCATTTTCCTTTCATGAGATTTTTCAAAGACATATTACCTCTTGGTCCAGGTTATATTCTTCATTTGAATTAAGTGCAACTTTTACAGTAATATAATCCCCATTTTTTACAGCATCCCTTAACACATCTAAAATGAAAGGAAAGATAAGTTAGATTTTATAAATCTAGATTTGTGAAAGGGATTTCAATATTTCCAAAACCACTCACTACTTGGAATTGCATCTGCTGCAGCAAAATTCTCATCTTTCCCATCAAGGTGCTTTTGGAAATCTTCTAACTTCATCCATTCTAACTGCAGGTCCATGCCCAAACTCAGAATCTGCTGCCTGCCATCTGGAACACACAATGGCCTTGTTAACATACATTGTCTTAAGTATAAAAAACCCACAATGTTATGAAATTTGTGGTGTCTTAATCAAAGCTCTATGTATACTTTTCACACAAGTCACTGTATAATGGGGTCTTTTAATTGATAAAATCCCCGACTTTCTTTGGGAAGTAATGTGAACGATTCACATTGAGAAGCCATGGTACTCCGAAGGCATGAAGATAAATAGGTAACCTGTCATTGTAAAATAGCGAAGGAGGAATTTTAAGACTAAGTAGCTCAAAGGAAGGAGGGATCGGGGATCTGGTAAGAGGAAATACAATCCTAATGTGACTTTTCTCCCTTACACCATTCTTCTTGGACATACGCTGCTTCCCATCATGTACAGATAAAGCTGTTCTCGTGTGTGAGCTACCCCAGCATGTGAGTCAAAGGCACTGCTTATGGATCCTTCCAGATTCACTCGGGCCCCTACATCTGGAAGCCTTCTGCTCCCACAGTGCCCCGGCCCACACCCAACTCCCTGTGAGGTACTGCTAGAGTCTTCTCCGACAGGACCCACAGGCACGGGAACATGGGGAACGTGTGTGTTCAGCCTTTATCACCACAGCAACCACAGACTTCAGTGCAGCTCGCCTGGGAGTAATTCACAATGGTGGTTTTACAAGTGAAAAACAGAAATACTTGATGGTAAGCGTTAAAGGATTTTCACCTGAAACCAATTCCTCAAACTATATAGATGACGTTAAGCAGATGGCCTTGCCACAGAAATAAAGTCTGTAAAACATATGCAATACATGAAGAACTTTTCCAAAGCCCTCAACTCAAACTAACACTTCTGGGGGCGCGCCCAAGGTGGCCGAATAGGAACAGCTCCAGCCTCCAGCTCCCAGCGTGATCAAGTGGGCTTCATCCCTGGGATGCAAGGCTGGTTCAACATACACAAATCAATAAACGTAATCCAGCATATAAACAGAACCAAAGACAAAAACCACATGATTATCTCAATAGATGCAGAAAAGGCCTTTGACAAAATTCAACAGCCCTTCATGCTAAAAACTCTCAATAAATTCAGTATTGACGGAATGTATCTCCAAATAATAAGAGCTATTTATGACAAACCGACAGCCAATATCATACTGAATGGGCAAAAACTGGAAGCATTCCCTTTGAAATCTGGCACAAGACAGGGATGCCCTCTCTCACCACTCCTATTCAACATAGCATTGGAAGTTCTGGCTAGGGCAATCAGGCAAGAGAAAGAAATCAAGGGTATTCAGTTAGGAAAAGTCAAATTGTCCCTGTTTGCAGATAACATGATTGTATATTTAGAAAACCCCATCGTCTCAGCCCAAAATCTCCTTAAGCTGATAAGCAACTTCAGCAAAGTCTCAGGATACAAAATCAATGTGCAAAAATCACAAGCATTCGTATACACCAGTAACAGACAGAGAGCCAAATCATGAATGAACTCCCATTCACAATAGCATCAAAGAGAATGAAATACCTAGTTTTATTAGACTAACCTCTCTGATTTATTAGGTCCTAGTTATAAACATGTATGTACACTTTTGAGTACTCCTCCCCACCACTACTGTAGTCTGTATTCTTCTTCTCGACCAGTTCCGATGTCCTCAGGACAGTGTTTACAGTATAATCTTATTTAGTGTTATTTGCTACAACATTAAAAGGATAAAATACAAATTAGTTTATATTTGATAATTTCCTGAAAGAAATCTATTAAATAGTAAGATATAAAATGGGGCTGCCAGGTAGGAGGAGGTAAGGTAGAAAATGAGAAATCTTTTAATTCCATACGTGCTGAGAACATTATAGGAACTCAGAAAAATTGTTTGATCCATTGAGAAGTCACAGAATGACCCGTCTTCAATATAAAATGTTATTCAGGAGATCCAAATAAACTCTTTACTCCATTATTTTTTGATCTTGAGATCAGAAATATAGACAGAGAAGAGTACAGTAAAATAATACAGTGCACTATCTTGAAAAATTCTGCAAAATAATTCCAAACTCACCCGAATTCTCATCTGCTTGGCACACGCTGTCTGAACCCTCTTGATCACCTTCTGCAGCAATGTATGCCCAAGTGTCCGTTTCGTCTCGGGTGTTCCTCCTCTCTTTAAGTGACTGTTTGTTTTCCTTGGTTTTGTGATCGTCTATGGTTTTAAAATCCAGTGGTATTTCTTCCCTTTTCCGATTATTCTCAGAAACATCATTTTTTTCTTCTGGAGTTAATTTAAATAAATCAAATGCATTTCTGATTTCCTTAAGTGCTAATGAAAAAATTAAAAGATAGTTAAGTATGAGTCACAAATTTGTTACATTCAAAAGAAAATCTAAGTTAGTGTTAAAGCAACAAGATATTTTCTTAATTTTTACTAACATCCACCTAGCTTATAAAGCCTGGTCTGATTGACTGTCAAAGCCAAAAAATCGTTTCAGCTGGTCTTTCTACTGGCTGCTCAATATTCAGAAAGGATGTCGTCCAGTGTGAATGGCTGTTAAGCAGATGTTCTGAACTACTCACCTGCAGTTGAGACAAAGGCCTACTGAAGGCGGTGAGTCTCAGTGACCCGAGTCACACCAGCACCTTTCCCACAGCTAGAGACATCAGACTGTCTATAGCTGGATCCTAAGGCTTGTCCCAAAATGGTTTCTGGTGGCAAGTGAGGGAAACAGCAGGGTGCCAGAGCACTGCCTGTGTACCTGGTAAAACTGTACCTGATGCTACCAGCTTTTAACTGGGAAGAAAACTGGCAGACACTAGACCTGACATTAGAAATAACCCCCAAAAAGAAGAGAATTAGGATGAATTCTATTATAAACTCTAGGTACACAGCAGACAGGTTTTGTTATCAGGGAATATTGAAAACTGGACTCTAGTGAGTACCCTTATGAATGGGACAAACAGTCGTTCCATTTAAGGCTATATGTTTACAGTAAAAATGTATCTAAAACTGACATACAAGATACTAGGAGGAAAAAAGGTTAAGGCCAGGTCCAGTTTTACAGTATTTTGAACCTCTAGTTATTGACGAACAGAAGGCATTTAAGATTTTTTTTTGCTTTGAACAGCAATCTTACAGCCACTTTACGTGTGATCCACTGAAACAAAGCCACTGCTCCTGCCACTTCATTCACCTGCTTCTACTGCCAAAACCAGACTAGGCTTAGGAAAAAACTTACTTTTAATATTACTTCAGTTACATTCAGCTTTCAGTAAGAAAACCCAAGGAAAATCATCCATCTCTTAGAACCACTGTTTGCCAGAAAACATGTGTTCCAAGTACTTTTGCTACAGAAACTAAATATTTATCTGCTAGGGTTTATTCAAACACTGTAATGGTGTTTTTTTTGTTTGTTTTTAAGAAATATAAAGTATTTGTTCTAATATTGATATATATTATGGATTTTCTATTATGGTCTATCTTGAAGTGATCCAAAATGCATATTCAATATTATATTTTACACAAATGACACAGACTTACTTAAAATGAATATATTAAAAGGTGTGTTTTAAAATTTAGCATCTGCTATAAAAAACACATTTATTTTTCTGCCATAACTAATTTCCTGTCTCAGTAATTCTAATCTGATCCCTCATCATACTAAAAAGGAAAAGCAAGGTGAAAATAACGGAAAACAAATTATATGAATTTTTACATAATAAATGTAGGTAACTGGTTAATTATTTGTATATCAGACAGCAATGTAAATGGTAAAACGTTAACATTTACACTCACTCTTTAATCCTTTTGGCTCTTTTCTGCCTTTTTCTTCCTTGTCAGAATCGTGCCTTTTCTGATATTTTTCTTTGGATTCAGTTTTTTTGGTCTCTTTGTCCTGAAAATGACATGATATCCAAAGAAGAATGGATAAAGAGTTGACGCTGTATATTTATTTGAGAACCAGAAAATACAGGTTTGTGGCTTGAGGGAACCACCCCTGTGTACTGTGGTACGTGATCACTGATCATTAAATCCTCTTCACACAAAAGAATTTTGCTTCCTCAGTCAACCATATGATAATTCACAAAATACCAAATTCAAAGCCCAACACCAGTTTTCCCACCCTCTTTTAGGAATTTTATTTAAAAAAAAAAAAAAAAAAGGAAATTCTAAGAAAGTTTTCCACCCATAGTCTTAACCAACCGTGACTATTTCACTTCTCCATGTTCCCCCTTCTGGTCCTGGTACTTTTACATGGATAATCTTTTTTAAAATTCATTTTTGTTTACATTACACACATATTTTTACAACTGTGTTCACATTTATGTAGGGTCTTCTTCTCCACTGCATTGTCTAAGTTGTTCTATTTCGCTACACTGACCTCATAATATTTCAGTAGTTCTAATGGTCCCCAAGTTGACATATCAATGTTTCCTTAACCATTTCCCCTATGGCTAGAAAGTCAGGTTGCTATCCATTTTTCACTAATGAAGATAATTCTGCCATGAGTAACTATGTATGCACAGTTTTCCTTCTTTAAAATGATTTCCTTAAATTCTCAAAACTGGAAATAATGAACGAAAAAAATGATGTTCTTTATAGCCCTTGATAAATACTGCATATATAAATACTCTCATAATTTGGAAAATACATCCACTTTGCAAAGCCATATAAAAATAATTTTTATAATGGGACAAATTCTCTATTAAATACGTTTTTATAAGCGTAATTAATTAAATTTAATTAAAATACTTGTCAATGTACTTTGTGTCCTATTATTTAATAGTGGTATACTCAAGACAACAGGGGAAATGACCAAGTAGGATGTGAAAAACCAATAAAATAAGCTGATGAAGCTATAAACCTGAGTATACAATGCTCCATATATCATCTGAGTACCTCTAAAAACCATCCTGACTTGTTCACAAATTAGCCTTTAATTTTCTAGTCATAATCATTCTAAGAGAAACAAACCAGAGACTAAGAGATAAGCTGCGGTGTCCAAAAGCTGGAGGATCTTCATTTATGACCACCCACAGTCATAAACACTTTCTTACAGCTTGGCTGTTTCCCTTTCTTTGCTTGTGAAATGTCTTGACCACTCAACATGGGTTTTCTGCTGCCTTCCGTGGCCCTTACCTCCTCGGCTGAGTCAGTGGACCAGAAGCCTCTCTCTTCCCCGCTCAACCTCCAGCCCTTTGGCGTTTGGGCAGACACAGGCATCAGCTTCTCTGACTCTACAGCACTTTTGCCTCTGTCTTGATTCCTCTGCTTTTTAGGCACAGTTTTCTTCTCTAAGAAAGTGTTCTTGTTTTCTAGCTTCCTGCTCTCTCTAGTGTCCTCAGCCTTTCTCGGGGTCTTCTTCCTCCTGCCTCTGACATCGGTATCCTCCTCAGCACTCATGGCGCTGTCTAGCGGCTTCTCAAAGCCATGCTCCAGCCCTGTGTCCTGCCCTGCTCTCTCTCTTGCAGTTTTAGTGTTTTGTTTCTCTTCTCTGCTGTCGGAATGTAGCCCTTCACTGTCATCCTCTGGAAAGGCAGAATCATTAAGTACACTTGATTCAGACTCCACCTGGGATTCGACACATTTTTCTTTTTTTGTTTTTCTATTTTCTTTGGGATCTTCTCTTGTTTTTGTCTTTAAATCTCTTATTTCACCCTTTTTAACTTTCTTTAATTCCTTTGTTTCTTTTACTTCATCTTTTTTGGGCTTTTTGGACTCCTTTAGTTCTTCTTTGGCTTCAGAAATTCTTTTCTTTGTCCTTAAATCAAAAACTAAACTTTCCAAGGAGCTCTCCAGGTCTGATTTGGACTTGTCTTTTAGCTTCCCGGCCTTTGCTTTTTTCTTTTTCAGATCATCTGGGCTCTTCTCTTCTCTCTGCCTTAATTTTTTCTTTTTCTTCTTTGGTGAAGTATCTTCTTTTGTCTCACTTTGCTGATCGCTATCAGAGTTCGCCTCAAATATGTCGTTATTTAAGGACAGTCTCTAGAAAATACAAAAAAGATTAAAATATTCATAAACATATTGATTTTAAAGGTTTTGAAAAATAGTACTAATGAAATTTGGTAAGAATATATTTTGTTCCAAGCAGAATCTCAACTCCTTAAAACCGCTTACCTAAGCTGAAATCGTACGCTACCTCCATCTCTGACTTAGCAAACAGGTCTTGGCAGTGAGGGCAAGTGTAAGTTTAGAAGGCAGGAGCGCACAGAAACACAGTGCTGCTGAGTGCCCAGCCCAAAGCAGGAGTGAGTGGACGCAGGTATGGTGGGCTGTAAATGATCTGAACTTCAACATTTCCAAAACCACCAAGAAAGTAATTTTTACAGACTTTCTTGGCTGCCAATAAAGTAGTTACCAATGCAAATACGAAACGTTTTCTAAGCCCCTGGATCCCGGAATGTCCTTAAACTTGCTCCTACATTTGACAGTTATGTACAGAACAAGCAAGACTGCACACAAATCTTACTTCCCAAATTCATGTGTTATCTGAAATATTGCTTATGAAAAAATATTTTCCTATATTAAAATTGAAAAAAAGAAACTTAAGAATAAAGTACTTGTATAGACACAAAAACACTATGCAAAGTATTTTCAGTTCCCATTTCCCAAAACCACCGTATCCTAAATGACTTGGGGGTAGAGAGAAGGGATGGAAACGATAGCTTTTCTTTGTTTGTTTGTTTGTTTTACAAGACGGAGTCTCATTCTGTTGCCCAGGCTGGAATGCAGTGACTTACTGCAACCCCTGCCTCCTGGGTCCTGGGTTCAAGGGATTCTCCTGCCTCAGCTTCATGAGTAGCTGGGATTACAGGTATGCGCCACCACAGCCTGCTAATTTTTATATTTTTAGTAGAGACAGGGTTTCACCATGTTGGCCAGGCTGGTCTTGAACCCCTGACCTCAAATGATCCTGTCTTGGCCTCCCAAAGTGCTGGGATTACAGGGGTAAGCCACGGCATCCGACCAGATATACTTTAAAAATGTCTTCCCTACACTGCCTGAGAAATGGACGCCACCAAGGGTTAACAAGTGGGAATATGGTGGCACTGACTTAACCTTTCCAATCTCTCTGAATCACCTCATAAAAAACAAGACAACTAGGATAGCAAAACAAAACTCCCCACAGACAGCTTTTGGTTTTGGTAAGTCCGAAGTCCATACCACGCAAGCCTTACCAAAACTAAAACAGTGGTAAGGCCCATGTGGTGTGGATGGTCTCTCAGGGGAAGTGAAGGCAACAATCTGGAAAAGCCCAGGCCGGTCCTGCCTGAGAGAGCAGCTGCGGGGTGGGGCCTCATGCGCACTGGGCAAGGCAGGGGAGAAGGGGAGAGGTGGCTGGCCCCTCCCAGGCCCTGCAAAAGGGACCAGCGAAGCTCTCCTCAGGACTTCCAGGACCAAGCCACACAAGGAGGAAAAACTGCTAGGATTAGATTCCAAACCAAGTAGGCCAGAGAAGACAGAAACAAAAGATCAAAAAAAAATTTTTTTAATTAGCCAGGCTGACTATCCTAAAAACAATAGAAGCATACCAAAAATACATGTCTATAAAATGGAAGAGAAAACAAACAAAAACTTTGGAGCATCAGGCAAAAAGACCCAAGTCACTTACAAGACAAATAAACTCAACTGGTCATCAAGAACAATGTTTTGTGCCAGATGATAATGGATTAACACAGTAAGACACCTGAGAAAAGAAAATGTGCACTAAGGAATCTGCAGCTGGCGTTCAGATAGAAACGCTGCCAACAAACTGTTAGGAAACAAAAGAAGTCGGTGAAGACTGTTCTCCAGAGCCTTCCTACCACAGAGGTGGGTCGCAAACTCTCGCACGCACCCCTGCTGGGGACTGACGCTCCTGCCAGAGTCCATACTTTGAGAAGCCCTGTACTAAAGCATGAGGTTCAGATAATCAAAAATGACTGGACAAACATCACCATAAGGACTGGTGGAAAGCATTAATTATGTATTTGCTTCGAGGACTAAGACTGAATGAGGGTTGTAAGAGAGACTGTAGTATGCGTGACTAAATGTTCTAACAAGGTACAGTGTATCTAGAAAATAACAGGGAGATGTGGTGAGAACGTATTGAAGGAATATTATGCTTGCTGATTATAGTTATTAAATGGGAGTAAACGACAGTATTTCAAATTAGATATAGAGGGAGAGAGACGGCAGGGAGAAGATAGGTCCCAGTTAATTTCTAGTTTTATCCTTCAAACCACATTAAGTATTTTACATACTCAACAAAATTGCATCGGCAAGGATGGGGGAACCCTAAAACTGAATAGACAGACAGACAAATGAACCTGTTTATAAAATTGATAACCACACAGAAAAAAAAATTCAAGTAACTTCTGAACATTAAACACTGCATATATCCTAAGAACAAAAAGAACTGCAAATAAATGTGGAACTTTATCAAACAGGTTGATAAACAAATACTGTTTGTCGCTCATAGTAGAAAGGGCACAGCAAATCTGAGGTTAATTTCTCTGTATTGTAAGATTTAGTAAATAAGGACATGCAATACTGTTGTGACCAGAGTTCTCCTGGTAGGAAAAGGGAGAACACACAGGTCGCTGTGGTGACGCTGTGGTGACGCTGTGGTGACACGTGGTGACGCTGTGGTGACACGTGGTGACGCTGTGGTGACAGGCCGAGTTACAGAGGTCAGCAGGGATCTACTGAGGCTGGGATGTGCCACTGTGCCAGAAAAGAGAGCAGTGCTACCCTGAGAGGGAGCGCCAGGACACAGGGACTGGTATGAAGGGGTTCCCAGCTAAATGTGCAACAGTTTTAGCACCAATAGTAACATGTTGAATAAAAGCATCTCTAAGAATGTACTGGTGCCAAAAAAATACCCATATTTGTTTTCTGAATAAAATATGTATTAATAAAAGATTATTTTAAAGTTAGGGCAAAAGGCAAAATTATCAGTATATGGTACCATCTTTAAAAGAAAAATCAGGTCGGGCACAGTGGCTCACGCCTGCAATCCCAACCAACACTTTGGGAGGCCAAGGTGCGAGGATTACTTGAGGCCAGGAGTTCCTACCAGCCTGTCAACAGAGAGAGACCCTGTCTCTGGAAAAAAGAAAAAAAACTAGCCAGGCCTAGTGTCATGTATCTATAGTCCCAGCTGCTTGGGAGGCTGAGGTGGGAGGATCGTCACTTGAGCCCAGGAGGCTGAGGCTGCAGTAGGCCATGATTGTGCCACTGTACTCCAGCCTGGGTGACAGAGGCAAGACTCTGTATTTAAAAATAAATAAGTGAGAAGAAAAGAAAAAATAATATATCTATGTATAACCCGAAGGCAGATCAAGCACAGAAAACAGATTGTACCTATCTTTCTCTAACTGGAACTGTTTAGGGGTCTGACCCCTGTGAGACACCCCATGTTTACTCAAAAAAGAAAAAAAGCTAAAAATACCACAATGTTGACAGAACAGTTCAGTAGAAGTCCATTAGTGTTACATAACATCACTCAAAGCTCACAACAGACCAGTGGTCACCTTATGAAGACACCTGCTTTTCTAAGTGATTGCTTCACTTACTAAACCATGCTGGCCCAGTGTATGGTAGTTATGCAGCAAACACACATGCTCAGTAAATGCCAGGCACTTCTGCTATTGCTATTATTATTATTATTAACAACGAATGCACACAGTCAAAACTAAAACTAATATTGTTTTGGTCATTTAAAAAAAGACTATGTATTTTAAAAAACATAGGTGAAACTTAAATTGTAGGGAGAAAGATCAACGTTCAGCCTATAAAATAATGAGAATCATTCTCTTAATATGAGATATCTTCACTATATATAATTCTTTTTTTTTCTTTTTTTTTTTTTTTTTGAGATGGAGTCTCGCTCTGTCGCCCAGGCTGCAGTGCAGTGGCCGGATCTCGGCTCACTGCAAACTCCACCTCCCGGGTTTACGCCATTCTCCTGCCTCAGCCTCCCGAGTAGCTGCGACTACAGGCGTCCACCACCACACCTGGCTAATTTTTGGTATTTTTTAGTAGAGACGGGGTTTCATTGTGTTAGCCAGGATGGTCTCGATCTCCTGACCTCATGATCCACCCGCCTCAGCCTCCCAAAGTGCTGGGATTACAGACGTGAGCCACCGTGCCCAGCCTTCACTACATAGTTCTAAGTTTTTTTTGTTTTTTTTTAAACCAGGTCCTCACCAGATAATTTGTTTTAACTAGCAGAAAAAGCAGGCATAAGACATAGGTTGATAATGCAAAATAAATATAATAAAATATACAAAATCTAGTTGTTCATATCATGGACGAACAAATGACAGTTTGGCATGTCTCTTTTTTCTCCACTTTTACCTTCCTCTTAACTCAGTCTTGAAAGCAGTCTGTGAGAATTGGCTACATGGAATTTACACTAAGGAATACTGTACACTTCATTATTTGTAAATCATTTACTACACTTACTTAAAAGAGTTAAACATTTGCAATAAATTTATGTACATAAAAACAAGTATGAGACAAAACATAGTACCTGAATATCCTTCCTGACTGCTTTGGCTTTGTTCTCTGCAATTTTCTTCCTAAATTCAAGAAGCACTTCTTTACAGTCCTCCAGGTGAATCTCGGGCTCCCAGGTATCGTCATCCGACGTATAGCCTTTCCAGCGAACTTTGTAAAGAACTTTACCCTGTTATAGAAAATAAAAGGAGGCAAATAAAGCAGATCACTAACTTGATTAAATTTCAAAAAAAAAAAACAAAACAAAACAAAACTGAGAAGACATGAACAAACTTGAAAATTGCTTCTAAATGGAAATTATCACATTATAAAGTACATCCATCTCCTGAGAAAAGTGGCTTAAGAAACAAAGTATCGACCAGGCACAGTGGCTCAGGCCTATAATCCCAGCACTCTGGGAGGTCAGGGTGGGCAGATTGCTTGAGCCCAGGAGTTTGAGAACAGCCTGACCAACACGGTGAAACCTCGTCTCTACTAAAAATACAAAAATTATGGGCCAAGCACAATGGCTCACGCCTGTAATCCCAGCACTTTGGGAGGCCGAGGCAGGCGCATCACCTGAGGTCAGGAGCTGAAGACCAGCCTGGCCAACGTGATGAAACCTTGTCTCTATTAAAAAATACAAAAAAATTAGCTGGGTGTGGTGGCAGGTGCCTGTAATCCCAGCTACTTGGGAAGCTGAGGCAGGAGAATCGCTTGAACCCAGGAGGCAGAGGTTGCAGTGAGCCAAGATCACGCCATTGCACTCCAGCTTGAGCAACAAGAGCAAAACTCTGTCTCAAAAAAAAAAAAAAAAAATGATGGTGGTGCGCACCTGTAGTCCCAGCTACTTGGTAGGCTGAGGCAGGAGAATCACTTGAATCCAGGAGCCAGAGGTTGCAGTGAGCAGGGATTGGGCCACTGCACTCCCGCTTGGGCAAAAGAGCGAGACACCATCTCAAAAAAAAAAAATTAGCTGGGCACGGTGGCATGCAACTGTGGTCCAAGTTACTTGGGAGGCAGAGGTGGGCAGATTACTTAAGCCCAGGAGACGGAGATTGCAGTGAGCCAAGATGGTGCCATTGCACTCCAGCCTGGGCAACAGGCTGGTGTGGAAAACAAAAGAGAGAGAAATGAAAAGAAAAAACCGTGTATCATTGATCTGTTTTTCATAAACCAAAGACTGAAGTCCTATTCTGATTCCATAAAGCGGTATGTAATTCTTGAAAAGCAATGAAAAATAGAAAAGATAGGAAGAACCAAATAATGAATAGATACTGGTAATAATTTGATCTACTTCCTTCACCTGTTACATTAATACATATTTAGAATGTTTTTAAAACATTAGGATAATACTATAATTTTTAATACTGCTTTTTCACTTATGTATCAAGCACTTTTTGTTATAACTTTTCAAACGATTTTTAGTGACTTAAGATTATTCCATCATACAAATACAACAAAAAATACTACAAAAATGCTCCCTTTGTTACCATGATTGTTTAGATCGTTTCCTTTTTTTTTTTTCTTTTGTACTTACAAATAAAGCTGTAATATCCCTGTGTATCTCTCATTAAGCAGTTAGAATAAATTCCCAGAAAGGAGATCAATGGGGTAAAAAAAAAAAAAAACCAGCCATTTCCAGGGTTGGTGGCAGCCAGGCGTGGTGGTAGGCACCTAGAGTCCCAGATACTTGACAGGCTGAAGTGGGAGGATTGCTTAAGCTCAGGAGTTCGAAGTCAGCCTGGGCAACATAGTGAAATCCCATCTCAAAAAAAAAAAAAAAAAAAAAGGCAAGCCATGTAAAGATTAAAACACACTGCCAAATGCCTTCCAGAAAAAATGCTCGAATTTACACTCCGCCAGATACAAGAGTCCATCTCTGTATATCAGGGGTCAGCAAACCAAAGCAGGGCCTGCCTCCTGTTTTTGCCCATCTTGTGATCTAAGAATCGTTCTATATTTTTAAATATTAAAGGGAAATCAAAAGAATTACATTCATCAAGTGCTTTACAATGTGTCATGCACTGTCTAAATCTTTACATTTATTAGTTCATCATTAATATTTACAACATCCCCCTGAACTAGGTAGTATTACTCATTTTATAGATGAGAAAACTAAAGCTTCTAGATAAAGTAGTCAAAGATCACACAGCTAATGGGTGGTTCAGGTGAAATTCAAACCCAGAGTCTTACCCCAGCCTGTTTTTGTTTATTTGTTTTTTGAGACAGGGTCGCCCAGGCTGGAGAGCAGTGGCACGATCTCGGCTCACTGCAACCTTTGCCTCCCGGGTTCAAGCGATTCTCATTGCTCAACCTCTGCCTCCCGGGTTCAAGCGATTCTCATTGCTCAACCTCTGCCTCCTGGGTTCAAGCGATTCTCATTGCTCAGCCTCCCAAGTAGCTAGGATTACAGGTGGGCACCACCATGCTCCGCTGAGGTTTGTATGTTTTAGTAGAGACGGGTTTCGGCATGTTCAGGCTGGTTTCAAACTCCTGGGCTCCAGAGATCTGTCCACCTTGGCCTCCCAAAATGCTGAGATTACAGGCATGAGCCTCTGCACCCGGCCCATAAAATTCTTAACACAGGAATAAGTTTTCATGACTTTGGATTTGGCAATGTGTCTGTAACTCGGGACCTCAGTTTTTAAAATATGTTTTAATCACCTTATTCTTCTTCCTTCCCTCCTCTCTTACCCCTTAATTCCTTCCCTCTCTAGACACTCTCTTCCAGCAATGCATGCTTATCTAATTATGCTCTTGCTTAAGTAATTCCAGAGGTTAGGCCAGGCGTGGTGGCTCACACCTGTAATCCCAGCACCCTGGGAGGCCGAGGCAGGTGGATCACGAGGTCAGGAGTTTGAGACCAGCACGACCAACATGGTGAAACCCCGTCTCTACTAAAACCACAAAAATTAGCCGGATGTGGTGGCAGGTGCCTGTAATCCTGGCTCCTCAGGAGGCTGAGGCAGGAGAATCACTTGAACCCGGGAGGCGGAGGTTGCAGTGAGCCGAGATTGCACCACTGCACTCCAGCCTGGTGACAGCAAGATTCCATCTCAAAAAAAAAAAAAAAGAAGAAGAAGAAGAAGAAATTCCAGAGCCTAATCTCAAACAAACCAGGCACTGTAGAATCCTCCTGCTCAGGAGGAGTGGCAAGCAACTAGGCTACCACCAGCGCCAACCAGACCTCCAGATGGGTGACTACCCAAAAGAGCCATCCAAACAAAGACACACAGACCCTGCACCACTCCCACATGTCTCCCATACCAAGCTGCCCTTTAAAAACCCTATGGTAATTTCTTTCTTTTGTTTTTTTTTTGAGACAGAGTCTTGCTGTGTTGCCCAGGCTGGAGTGCAGTGGTGCAATCTCGGCTCACGGCAACCTCTGCCTCCTGGGTTCAAGCAGTTATTCTGCCTCTGCCTCCCAAGTAGCTGGGATTACAGGCATGCACCACCACGCCTGGGTAATTTTTGTATTTTTAGTAGAGATGAGATTTCACCATGTTGGCCAGGCTGGTCTTGAACTCCTGACCTCAAGTGATCGGCCTGCCTTGGCCTCCCAAAGTGCTGGGATTACAGGCATGAACCACCGCACCCAGCCCCCTATGGCAAATTTTAAAATTTAAGATGTTCTTTGTGATAACAGTCCACCATCTTCTCAGTTTTGCTGGCTTTCTGGAGAAATCTGCTTTTCTCTCATCAACCCTCGTCTCTTGTGTCTGGCTTTCAAGTGGCAAGCAGCCAACCCTGGGTTCGGCTACAGATTCTCTGATATGCCATCAAAAGCCCAAACAAAAAGAAAAAATAGATAAACTATATTTTATCAAAATTAAAAACTGTTGGGCATCAAAGGACATTACCAACAGGTGAAAAGATAGCACGCAGAATGGGAAAAATATATGCATATCATATACCTGATAAGGAATTAATATCCAGAATATATAAACACAACACACGAAAAGATGATCAACATCATTTGTCCTTAGGGAAATGCAAGTCAAAACCACAAAATGAGACACTACTTCACACCTTCAGATGGCAAAAAAAAAAAAAAGAAAAAGAAAAAGAAAATAGCAGGCATTAGTAAGGATGTAGAGAAATCGGAACCTTCTTACATTAGTGTTTGGAATGTAAAATGGTACAGCTGCTATGAAAAATCATCAGGCAGTTTCTAAAACAATTAAACATTGAATCATCTTGTGACACAGCAATTCCAAAAGTAGTCCCTATTTTTCAATTCCAAAAGGATTGAAACAAATATCTGTACACCAGTGTTCACTGCAGCATTATTCACAACAGCCAAAAGGTGGAAGCGACCCGAGTGTCCACTGATGGACACATAAAGTGTGGTCTACCCACACAGTGGAAAATTATTCAGCCCCAAAAAGGATGGAGATGCCAACACATGCTACAACACAGATGAATCTTGAAAATACTATGCTACAAAACACAAAAGGATATTTACGATTCCACTTACATGAGGTACTTAGAATAGGCAAATTCATTGAGACAGAAAGTACATTAGAGGCTACCAGGGACTTGAGGCAGGCAGGATGGGCACTCTTCAATCACACTCACACAGCCCGTCAATCATTCAGCCGTCTGTGTACAAAGACCAAGTACCAGTACTGCTGAACGGCTACAGTCTCTGGAAAGACGACAAGGTTTTAGAAATAGTAGTGCTGCTTGCACAGCTTGGTGAATGCAATGAATGCTGCTGCACTGCATACTAAGAAATGGCTGAAATGGCTAATTGTACGATATATATACATAACCACAATAAAACATTAATTACCTGTTGTGTCTTTTACCCATTTTCTTGCTCATCTATAAGAATCTCTCTAATACTTTTTAAGGCAATTAAATCTTTGTAATATACATTGCAAAGTTTTGCTTCTTCAGATGTCTGGTTTATCTTTTCTGCTCAATACCCAATCTCACTGAGAATCAGGAATATAACACTTGACTGTCAACATGAACTGCAGAGCACCATTCTAGCTACACACTTAACACTTGCCCGATTTTCTTCGCACCACCACCAAGGCAGTAAACTTTCCAAGCAAAGTGCCAAGAACTGCTCCCACCCATTTTACCCTTCAATCGTACCCACACTGCCCTTCAATCATTCAGTTATCTGTGTAGAAAGATCAAGTATGAGCACTGAGTAGAATTTGAACTCAAGAAATATTGGAAAAAGAACAGATTGAAAATCTTAACTTTTTTTTTTTTTTGAGACGGAGTCTTGCTCTGTCAGGCTGGAGTGCAGTGGCACGATCTTGGCTCACTGCAACCTCCGCCTCCTCGGTTCAAGTGATTCCCCTGCCTCAGCCTCCCGAGTAGCTGGGACTACAGGCACATGCCACCATGCCCGGCTAATTTTTTGTATTTTAGTAGAGACGGGGTTTCACCATGTTGGCCAGGATGGTCTCGATCTCCTGACCTCATGATCCGTCTGCCTTGGCCTCCCAAAGTGCTGGAATTACAGGCGTGAGCCACCGCGCCTGGCCTCAAAATCTTAACTTTTAAAGATAAGCCTGAAAAGCCTTAAAATTTTAAAATAATAGTTAAGAGTACATCAATACAGTTTTATTGTTCAGCTAAATTAAATGGGTAGGAAGATGGTGATTTTATCCATTGAGAATATATGCATATTCTTTCGGGCAAAATAATAAAAGGAAAACTATTGTATACAACTTTGTAAGAGCTTCTGTCTTCTGTAAAAGCATAATTAAAACTGAAGAAATTAAAGATGAGACAGCACAGCTAAGCTTGCATGAATGGGGGGAAAGAAAAGAAATCTTAGTCAATAGCATGCAGAACTGCCTAAAAGAAAGCAATATATTTGGTTTTAGAATAAACATCAGGGCCAGGAGCGGTGGCTCATGCCTGTAATCCCAGCACTTTGGGAGGCCAAGGCGGGTGGATCACAAGGTCAGGAGATCAAGACCATCCTGGCCAACACAGTGAAACCCTATCTCTATTAAAAATACAAAAAATTAGCCAGGTGTGGGGGTGCGCACCTGTAGTCCCAGCTACTCAGGAGGCTGAGGTAGAAGAATTGCTTGAACCCGGGAGGCAGAGGCTGCAATGAGCTGGGATCACGCCACTGCACTCCAGCCTGGGCGAGAGAGTGAAACTCCATATCAAAAAAAAAAAAAAAAAAAGAATAAGCATCATATGAAGTTATTATAAACAGCAAATGAATATGCTAATTTTATCAGTAACGGGTCATGGGAACAAAAATGATCCTTATTTGTGTGTGTGCATAAAAATGGTGGTAAATGCATTATTCAACATAGCCCTTAAAAACACCACTTTCAAATGGGCCAGACAAAAATGTACATAAACAGAGAAAAAAGACAAATAGATAAATGATTAACAACTGGAGAATCGGGCTGAAGGTATATGAGAGTCTGTCTAATTCTTACAACATTTCTGATAATTTTTAATTTTAAAAATTTAAGACTAGAAAACTACCTTTTACATTAACATAGTTATAAATCTAATGCTAGTTATCAATGAAATTTGAGCTAATTGATGAGGAGGATATTAAGAACAATTTTCAATAGCTCCTTTACTTCAACAGGTGTGCTTCCTTCATTCACTCATTCAACAAATAGTTATTGAACGTGGCCACTATGTTTCAGGAACCTTTTGAGTTTTAGGAGCATGGCAGTATACAAATACAGTTGAAATCCCTGAATTCCATGTCTTTGTATGCAGTCATGTAAATCCAAAAAATTGTCCAGGGTTTTGCCATGTATTAGGAAATTGCATGATGGCCCTAGGATTTATAAATTTGACTTCAAAATTCCAGAAGTAGTCTATTTCTTGGTAGCCAAAGTTTCCTTTAATCAGTGAGCCACACTAAAAGGCAGGCCCCTATTCTACCAGACCACATACACTAGAGCAACAGTTTAAAATTTTTGTTAATAAAACAAAAAAATTGGTCTGGCACAGTGGCTCACACCTGTAAATCCCAGCACTTTGGGAGCCCAAGGGTGGAGGATCACTTGAGCCCAGGAGTTCAAGGCCAGCATGGGCAACGTAGGGAGACCCTATCTCTACAAAAAATTAAAATATTAGTCGCAGTAGAGCACACCTATAGTCCCATCTACTTGAGAGGCTGAGGTGGCAGCACTGTTTGAGCCTGGGAGGTCAAGGCTGCTCAGAGCCATGATTATGCCAATGCACTCCAGCCTGGGCAACAGAGAACTTGTCTCAAAAAAAAAAAAAAGGAAATTAAGCAATATACAGTATTAGAATTTAATTCTCTGCTTACTCTATTACCCCAAATAAATTATAAATAATAATTTGGAATAGTGGTGTATGCATGTATTTCCACAGTTCTTATGTTAATTATTCACACATATAGTGAGAATCAAGAAATATTACGAACTAGTAAAAAGTGAATCAATTCTAAGTGTTTCCGATTATAGTCTATAGACTAGACTATAAGGCCTAACAGACTGCTAGCAGGGCCCTTAAGTTTGTCAATGGCTAGGTGGCTAACTAACCGGCTGGTTCACTCAGCAGCGAAGAGAAAACTGCCATAGTCCTGTTCCGCTAACACCTTTTGTGTTAGTCCATTTTCATACTGCTGTGAAGAAATACCCGAGACTGGGTAATTTATAGAGGAAAGAGGCTTAATTGACTCAGTTCAGCATGGCTGGGGAGGCCTCAGGAAACTTATAATCATGGCGGAAGGCAAAGGAGAAGCAGGCACCTTCTTCACAGGGTGGCAGGATCCAGTGAGTGCAAGCAGGGGAAATGCCAGATGCTTATAAAACCACCAGATTGAGACTCACTATCACAAGAACAGCAATGGAGAAACCATTCCCATGATCCTACCTCCACCTGGTCCCGCCCTTGACACGTGGGGATTATGGGGAATACAATTCAAGATGAGACTCTGAGTGGGGACACAGCCAAGCCATATCACCTTTAATCTTATAAATCACTCCTTCACAAGAGCACCTAAAAATGCAAGAACTTGAATTTTAACTCAGCACTAAAGCCTAATTGCCTTCCACATATAAGTTTCTTAGTTTCACCCTCTTTAGACTGGTGAGGCTTTAGGTACACAGTGCTTATAATTCTTTGAGGCTGGCAAAATTAAACACTGTATGAATGAGAGTCATCTTAATTCTAAAGATTTTTATCCTTTTAGCCAATTTTTTTTTTTTTTTTTTTGAGATGGAGTCTCCCTCTGTCGCCCAGGCTGGAGGGCAGTGGCACAATCTCGTTTTACTGCAACCTCCGCCTCTGGGGTTCAAGCAATTCTCCTGCCTCAGCCTCCTGAGTAGGTGGGATTACTGGCGCTCGCTACCTCGCCCAGCTAATTTTTGTACTTTTCGTATTTTAGTAGAGACGGGGTTTCACCATGTTGGCCAGGCTGGTTTCGAACCCCTGACCTCGTGATCTGCCCGCCTCAGCCTCCCAAAGTGCTAGGATTACAGGCGTGAGCCACTGCGCCCGGCCCTAGCCAAATGTTTTTCAAATACCTCCTGCGTGCCTAGTATTGTGTTAAATGCAAGTGATACAAAATAGTCTAACAGTGGCTCCTCCTTTCACCTCAAGGTGCTTACAATATATTTGGAGAAATTATACATAAAACATTTCCATCTTTATTGCAATTAACAATTTAATGACATCAGATCTTAATTACTTAACTCCCCACAGACAGGAAAAGTTTCCCCTGTTAGCAACTGTGTATGCTTCAATTAATCTCGATATTGTCCGGACCTAACACAGCACCTGGCATACAGTAGTTGATTTAAAAGATGCTGAATGAATAGGCAAAAAAATGACACAAGGCAGCATATGACCAATGGGAAATAACACAATGAAAAGAACACAACATAGAGAATGACCACTGCGGGGCCCTTTGGGTACCTCACATCCATCTACTGAAACAGATTATTTTCTTATTGTCCATGTTTCCCCTTGGATTAAAGGAGCCCACATAAAGCAGGAGAGACAAAGAACGATAATGGCTTAAATGCCTTCGCAGAGGTCAATACAAAAAGTAAAAAGGGCAGAGATGAGAAGAAGCTCCTCCCTCTGCAGAGGTTAGGGTCAAAAAAAGCTTTCCCAGAGAACTACACCCCGAGGCCTTGGAAGATGGAGTAAGATTTCACCAGAAGAAGAGGGCAGAGAACTGTCCAGGCCAGGAGAACAGGAATCACCAAGGCATGGTGTGATGAATTTCAAGTATGTCTGTGTGGCTGCGATCTATACAACGCATAGGGGAGGGAGGGAGGGATGATGCTGATCAGGTTATGAAGGCCTTTCAATGCCACCCTCTGGGTAAGAGTGAGATTTTACTCCGAGGGCAAACGAAAATTCCGGAAGATTTTAAACCAAGGAGTTAGTTACGGTTTTGGAAAACACTGCAGCGATGGCGAGGACAGTGGACCATGACGAGAAGCATTACTTCACTATCACATCACTCCAAAGGGCAGCAGCTCCAACCACATGCCCCAATACTGGTGACTACAGAAGTCCTTCACCAGCTGCCTGCAGCCTTGCGATCACCACACACCACATCCCAGACTGCTTCGTCTCTTAGGCCAAAGCAATCCTGCAAAATCCGCTGAAGCTTCCCTCCCAGACCCGGTCCTAAGCGTGCACTCGGAAACGTCACTTCGCTTTTCCCACGATTTCGCGTGCTTGCACTGAACTCACATTCCTCCCCTGCTCCTGTTTTGGGTCCGCCCGCGCTGTTTCCAGCTCGCGTCCTCCCCGTCGGGGCCGCAGCTCCCCGCCCATCCCGCGCCGGGGCCCCCCACGTACCCCCTCGGTCTTCATGTCCAGGATCTTCTCCACCTCGAACACATCCTCGCCGTCCTCCTCGCTGTCGCCAAAGGCCTCCGCTCCTCTCGCGGCTGCGTCATTATCCTCGCCCACGACTCCAACTCCTTCGACTTCGGCCAACTCCTCAGTGCTGTCGGCAGCTGTCACAGGAACTGCGGTCACACTCGCTCCCTCCGCAACCGGCTCCATCCCGGCAGCTCCGCAAACCGCCGTGGAAAACCCGCTGCGACACACACACCCCAGCAGCTCCTCGCGTTCCGCGCTCGGCCCGACTCCACATCGGCGGCGTAACGGAAGCCGACCAATGGCGGGCTCGGACCCTAGAGTGACAGGAACAGAAGCCAGTCGTGGAAAGGCGGGCGCGGCGCAGCTCCGCGGAGCCCGCGGGAAGCAGGTGGGCGGGGCAGGGAGGGCGCCCTGGGCGGAAGAGCGTCGCGGCGGCGTGTAGCTGTGGCGGAAAAGGTCAAGGATGGGAGGGGAGCGGGCGAGGCGGCCGAGCCGAGCGACGCTGGGGAGGAGGAGGGTCGTGCGGGCGGAGGGCTCCCAGGGCTGAGGGCGGCCCGGACGAGCTGACAGTGCCTGATCCCCCGGCAAGGAAGCCTCAGGTGCGGGCGCCGGGAGGGCCGGAGCCGCGGACTTTCTAGGAAAGGGAACCCCGCTGCTGCCGAAACCCCAGCCGAGCGGACCGGCTTCCCAGAAGTCATATAGGACTTTGGTAGGTTTAGCACGTGTGGATGATCCAATCAACATAACTCACAGTGTTCGTATATTTTAATGAGTGTTGTTTAAAGACAAGGAAACGTAGCGGCCCAAAAAGCATCCGTTTTTCAAGTTCTAGCGCCCTTTGCGTTTTCGTTGAAAATATCGGAGAAGGACGTGATGAAAAGTATTTGTTCACGTTGCGAAGAGGTGACAAAAATTACGCCACCCAAAGTTAGCGAAATACTGCTAGGAAGATACACTTAAGGATAATGTGTTTTTCTCACTTCGAATTTCGGATATGCAACTGAAATCTTTATGGCATCAAACTTTCTGTTTTTGTTTCTTTGAACAGCGGACTTAATTTGTAAGATAAGCCTCATTGTTAAGTCTCTGAGCTTTAACTGAAGCATAATCTATGGTCCGGCAAATCCTTTCGCAGAGAATCACCAGATCTTTGAGTTGACTCAATGATACTTTTTTTTCACTCAGCTTTAATCAGATAGTACTCGATGATATACAGTTGAGCTTATTAAATGCATCCTATGTACCATCACTACAGAAGGCATTAGTAACAGAAATACAAAGATCAGCAGAGCGGAGTATGCCTTCCTAGGACCAATACAAACAATTAGGTATTTTTTTTTTTTTTTTTTTTTTTTTTTTTTAATTTTTTTTTTTTTGAGACGGAGTCTCGCTCTGTCACCCAGGCTGGAGTGCAGTGGCCGGATCTCAGCTCACTGCAAGCTCCGCCTCCCGGGTTTACGCCATTCTCCTACCTCAGCCTCTGGAGTAGCTGGGACTACAGGCGCCCGCCACCACGCCCGCTAGTTTTTTTTTTTTTGCATTTTTTAGTAGAGACGCGGTTTCACTGTGTTAGCCAGGATGGTCTCGATCTCATGACCTTGTGATCCGCCCATCTCGGCCTCCCAAAGTGCTGGGATTACAGGCTTGAGCCACCGCGCCCGGCCACAATTAGGTATTTTAAAACTGTAAAAATATTACCCATATAATTAGTTGATGGGAGACAGCTCATTTTTACAGAATTCCAGATAAATATAGAAGAAAAGTTGGAATTAGAAAAATCACAATAATGTGTGCACAAGATCTAGGGAACAAAGCATTATAGGAAAGGGTGATGAGGAACTGGATATTCACAAGGCACTATTGATCCACAGATTACTTGTTGGTTGTAGGGGAAATCTAGCTTCACATTTGAAAGTCCACTGATCAATGTTAGCATTACTAAAAGTGGAACAACCAGACTGTATGCTTTCTGTTGACAGAAATGTTGATCCTTAATATGCTCAGGCCTTTAAGTGTAATTTCCAGTTACAGGAAAGAAGAAAGGGGAAAGAAGAAAAGGAAACAATCAGACAAATCCAGAATGTGGAATATCCTATTGGACAACTGACTGTTTCTTCCAGTTAAAGGTAAAAGAGGGAGGAGAAGATTATGTTCTAGATTTATAACAATTTGAGATGAAAAACATGGCAACATTTAAAATATTTTAAATCTTAATGGGTTTATTATACTATTCTCTGCTTTTATGTGTTTTTAAATAAAATTTTCAATTAAAAAATACATAAGGCCAGGCCCGGTGGCTCATACCTGTAATCCCAGAACTTTGGGAGGCTGAGGTGGGAGGATCATCTGTGCTCAGGAGTACGTGACCAGGCTGAGCAATGTGGCAAAACTGTCTCTACCAAAAATACAAAAAATTGGGCATGGTGGTGCATGCCAGTGGCCCCAGCTACTTGTGAGTTTGAGGTAGGAGGATCCGTTGAGCCTGGGAGGCAGAGGTTGCAGTGACCTGAGATTGCACCACTGCACTGCACTCCAACCTGGGTGACAGAGTGTGACCTTGTCTCAAGAAAAAAAAAAAATATATATATATATATATTTATATGTCTGTCTGTCAGGCACAGTGACTCATACCTGTAATCCCAAACCCAGTGAGTGATTTGGGAGGCTGAGGTGGAGGATCACCTGAGACCTTGAGGCCAGGGGTTCAAGACCAGCCTGGGCAATATAGCGAGACCCCATCTCTACAAATATAAACAAAACAAAACAAAACAAAAAAACTAGCTGGGCGTGGTGGCGCGCACCTGTAGTCCCAGCTATTTGGAGGCTGAGGCAGGAGGATTGTAGCTTGCGTGAGCACCACTGCACTTCAGCCTCAATGACACAGAGTAAGATCCTGTATTAGTCCTTCTTTATACTGCTATAAAGAACTGCCAGAGACTGGGTAACTTATAAAGGAAACAGGTTTAATTGACTCACAGTTCGGCTTGGCTGGGGAGGCCTCAGGAAATGCCGAGACCAGCTCAATCCGGGAGCTATTTATGAAGCAAAATCAAGAATACTTGGTTAATAATTTGACATGGCAGGAGAGGGCAGAGGTAAGGATGATTCCTAAGTTTCTAGTTTAAGTACTGTATGGCAGCAGGTGTTATCTTTTTGTTGTTTAAGGAACACGGTGGTAAAGCAGGTTTTGGAGAGGAAGATCAAAAAAGTCCAGTTTTGGGCCGGGCGTGATGGCTCACGCCTGTAATCCCAGCACTTTGGGAGGTCCCAGGTAGGTGGATCACCAGAGGTCAGGAGTTTGAGATCAGCCTGGTTAACATGGTGAAACCCCGTTTCTACTAAAAATACAAAAATTACCCAGGCATGGTGGTGCGCACCTGTAATCCCAGCTACTGGGGAGGCAAAGGCAGGAGAATAGCTTGAACTGAGATCGCACCACTCCACTCCAGCCTGGGCAACAGAGTGAGACTCCATCTCCAAAAAAGAAAACAAAAAAGTCCAGTTTTGAGGTACTTACGAAGTAACAGTGTGCTAAGCAATATAAGCAAGATGGAGAATAGGAAACCCCAGACCCTCATCCTCCCACAGAGACATCAGCTTAACAACATCATATGGACAAAACTGCCTTTCTGAGAACTCCAAAAACCAGTGGAGAGTTTGCAGCACCCAAAGGTGCACAAAGCCAAGAGATGCAACAGGTAGGAAACTGTGGCATTTTACTTGCCATTGGTAAAGACAAGCAAGGACAATTGTCATAGTTACAGCAAGACAAGCGAGGATTTACAGCCAAAGAGCAGAGTGCACGGCGGTGGTGGGGTGGGGTGGAGGCGGGCATTGGATGGAAAATTACTAAGAGGCAACGTAAAGGGAAGGGTGACATTCTGGTAAAACTGTGACAGGATTCCTGCTGAAGGCAGGCCAGGGTGATCGAATGTCATCTGGAGGATGGTGGAGGATGATGAATTTGATTAGATGTCAAGAGTGGAGGATTCTTGCTAAAACTGCAAGAAACAGTTTTGTGATGCAAAGATGAATACAGGAGCTCAAAGGTCAAGTCCTGGTTAAGTAGAGGGTTCAGAGGAATCTGACTAAAGTGAGGTCAAGGAGAGATTATTTGTCACCCTAGCTATTCCCTATCCCTAGCACATTGTGGTATAATTGGGAGAAAATTTCCAATCCTCTTCTCCCTCACGAGAGAGAAAAAGAGAAAGGAACCAACCATGAGTCCAATGTGCAGGCCTTTTGACAGTCTGCCTAAGGAGCAGATTTCTCTCTCTCCTGACTTGCAGTGCTGATGGGAACAGCGGGTTAAATGCCAGGCTGGGATCACTGAGATCAAAGGGGTACCAGAAGACTGGGCAGGAGAGAATTACCAGGGCTCTACTTCCATTTCTAGCAGTACAAGACCAGCCCGGACAACATAGCAAGACCCCCTCTTTATTAAAAAAAAAAAAAAAATAGCCGGGTATGGTGGTGCATCTGTAATCACAGTGCTTTGAGAGGCTGAGGTGGGAGGATCACTTGAGCTCAGCAGTGAGCTATGATCATGCCGCTGCACTCTAGCCTGGGTGACAGGGCAAGACCTGTTTCTAAAAGTAAAAAAAAAAAAAAAAAGCTATTGAGAGGTATAGAAAGATAAGGACTAAAAAGTGGTCTTTGGGGCAGGTGTGGTGGCTCACACCTGTAATCCCAACACTTTCAGAGGCTGAGGCAGGAGGATCACTCAAAGCCAGGGGTTCAAGACTAGCCTGGGCAACAAAGCAAGACCCAGTCTCTCTAAACAAAACAAAACAAAATGGTCTTTGGATGAGAATTTTGGAATAGTGCTAGACAGAAGGAAGCATGAGATAATACTAGTGAGAGAGTAGATTGCAGGACGAGATAGGAAGATAAGCCACCCTGGACAAATTTGTAAAGGTTAGGAATGAACCCAGTGACAGCTGAAGGGCAGGTGACAAAGTGAGATTGAGAGATGACTTTTTTTATTTAATTTGTTTAAGATGGGAAATGATACCAATTGTTCAGTTGCCTATTCCCTCACCCAGCCTCAGGTCTAATTCTCAGGCCTGATGGGGTTTGCAGTGTGGGCTTTATCTCCCTGTAGTCCTGGAGAGGAATGGAGTAGTAGTGTTGGTGCCACTATGGTGTCATTCTCTTAAGACAGATACAGTGCTGTTTCTTTACTGTTTATTTAGCCTGGCTAAAATACTGGCTAAGTTGCTGTCACAAAAATGCTCCAAATATGCAGTAACTCAAACAAGATAAAGCATATTTCTTTCTCACTTAGCAGCCTGAAAGTGGGCAGGTGGTTCAAGGCGAGCAGGTGTTTTTGTTCCATTTCATCCAGGGACACCCTTTTGTCTCGGGGCCTGCAGCCGTGCCAGGGTGTGCCATCTGCTGCAGGGTAAAGGTGACTCAAAGCCCATGGGTAAGGAAAATGGGCGGATGCAGTAAGTAGTTTCCCTTTTTGAGGACCTGACCTGGAAGTTGCAATCAAGTCTGCTCACATCCCATTGGCTAAGAATGAGTGTCATGGCCACGCCCAGATGCAAGGGTGTGCACTCCGGCTGGGTGGCTGGCCAGAATCCAATCCTGGGAATTGACACAGGAGGACACTTAGCCTTCTCTGATTCCAATGCCAACTCCAGCAATATCTTTCCAGAACTGAGACCTCTCATAGTGTTCCAGCCTGTAGGGCAGATATTTGGTAGACACCTGGTATAAGCAAATCAGCTGCTTAGAGCTGGCATCCCTTTCTTCTGAGACGATCTTGCTCTGTCATCCAGGCTGGAGTGCAGTGGTGCAGTCTGGGCTCACTGCAGCATCCGCTTCCTGGGTTCAAGTGATTGTCATGCCTCAGACTCCATAGTAGCTGGCATTACACACACACACCACCACACCTGGCCAATTTCTGTATATATTTTTGTAGAGACGGGGTTTCTGCTGTGTTGCCTGGGCTTGTCTTGAACTCCTAAGCTCAGGCGATCCACCTGCCTCTGCCTCCCAAAGTGCTGGGATTACAGGCATGAGCCACTGCACCTGGCTGCTGGCGTCCCTTTTGATTGGGCCACCCTCTCTCTACCTGGCCATGTCTGGATGCAAGTGTCGTGAGACACCTTAACTGTCACCCCACTCCTCCCTAGCTAGCATGGCAGAAGAGGTTTTCCTGGATTTCTTCTTCCTTATGACTAATCTAAAATAGGAAGATCTTGTCCTTCAGTGCATTTATTTTTCATAATACCCAGGCAGAGTTCTCTTGCTTTGTCTTTCTGCTTATTACCTATTGAAAGTTTCCAAATATAGGCAAAAATTCTTCACTTTTTCTTTCATTTTCAGTGCTCATATGCAGATCACTACAAACAGAACTTCTAAAAATGTTAGTAGTGACCGGCCAGAGCATTAGGCCAGGCCATAGCGCAGGATGCTGGAAGTCACTGAAGAAGAAGGCAGTAACCACAGGAATGAGGGAGGTCTTGGTGGCTGGTGAATGGCAGTGATGAGAACAGGTAGGGAATGTCAAAGAAACCGGATTTTACACAAGGTAGAGGGGGAATGGCTTGCAAGTGGTTGTGTGGAGGAAGGTGCACAGTGACCTTACACCTTTTACAAAACACAAATGTTTTGTGACCTTACACCTTTTACAAATCAAAACGATCACAGACTGAAATGTAAGAACTGCAAAACTAGCTGGGTGTGGTGGCATGCGCCTCTCGTCCCTTCTCCTTGGGAGGCTGAGGCAGGAGGATTACTTGAGCCCAGGAGTTTGAGACTGTGGTGAGCCATGACTGTACCACTGCACTCCAGCCTAGGCAGAGGGAGGCTCTGTCTCTGGAAAAAAAATAAAAGTGCCAAACTAGAAAAATTCTAGAAGATAACACAGCAGAAAATCTAGATGAACTTAGATTTGGCAATGAGCTTTTGTATGCAACACCAAAAGCAAGATTCATGAAAGAATTGCTTGAGACACCTAATTTCCCTAAGAAAGAAGAAATGGATCAAGGGATCTGCACATTTTGCACACTGAGGGCCACAGTCTGGGTAGCCAGGCCCTGGAAACGGCATAGCTAGTAATGCTGACATCAGTCAAAGACCACTGGGTCTGACCTGCAGACCCTGGCCGCCCGACAGATGAAGAAATGCACTCAGGCACAGGTATCCCATGAAAGAGCAGACTAGAGGTCCCGGCAGCTTCACAGAAAGAGCTGTAGCAGCCAGGAGCCCTGACAAGCTGGCACCCTGTGCATTTATTCAGTACAGATTTAATGACAAAGGTCTCAAGTAAACACCACTAGAGGGTAATTAACATTGCTGAGAGCAGTCCTGCACCCACAGAGGACCAAAGGTTGGTCTTAGGACCACGTGAGTAAACAAGTCATTTAGATAAACTCCTCTACATTGCTATGTATCTACGCCCTCAGCTTTTAAGAGAATTCAGTTGCCTTAAGCCGAATCTTTTACTGAAGCTATGCAAACCTCCCAGCCTTCCAAGAAGGTTTGTGTCTATTTCCTATAAGTTTATTTTTGTAATTTCTCCCACCACCCTGACCAACCCCCTACAGTAACTTATTTGTGAATAAGGAACAATTTATTCCTCATCACACTAAGAAGCCATGTGACCCATTGTCCTGGATCAGAGACAAACACCAAGTGCCTCCCCAACACCAATGTCATCCTGAATGTCAACAGAAAACACTGGCCGAGGAGTTTTTTAAACCTCTTGAAGCATTTTGCCAATGACCAGACTTCAATAATCTTCCTTTATGTACAAAAAATTTAAAACTAGTGGCAACAAAGGCACAGTACTTAATAAAGCAACTAAGTTAGAAGTACAAGACACTGATTTATATGCTGTTGCTAGATTTGGAGAGGCAGGACTATTTATTAGGCTAAAAAGGTGGTGGTCATCTGGTATCTTCCTAAAAAAGTTTATCAGGGTCCTAATCCTTTTCCAGAAGGCAAACTAAGGCCTGGAACAAGACAAGGTCTTCTCCAAGGCCACACAACTAGTCACTGACAGAGGATTCATTTCAAAGTCCTGTCCTTTCAGGTCTGTGCCTACAAACCAACACTTCAATCTGACTATTTCAACCTGGCCAAAAGCAACACAAAACACCCAAACATGCATTTTAGGGGAAGAAAAAAACAGGCAACTGGACAGACAGGGGCAAGTCCAATGTGGCCTCCCAGATAAACCTCAATGCACTTACTTCTTTTGGCACAGACACTTCCTTCTGAACTTTGTAGGGAAGTCACATCACATTGCACTCTGTCCATGTGAATTCAACCCCGTGGGTGAACCAAACTTAAACGCATTAAATTCTACAAATAGGCCTGGCACGGTGGCTAACACCTGTAATCCCAGGACTTTGGGAGGCCAAGGCGGGCAGATCACCTGAGGTCGGGAGTTCGAGACCAGCCTGACCAACATGGAGAAACCCCATCACAACTAAAAATACAAAATTAGCCAGGCATGGTGGCACATGCCTGTAATCCCAGCCTCCTCGGCAGGCTGAGGCAAGAGAATCATTTGAACCCAGGCGGTGGAGGTTGCGGTGAGCCAAGATCGTGCCATTGCACTCCAGCCTGGACAACAAGAGTGAAACTCCCTCTCAATACATTCATTCATTCATTCATTCTACAAATAGCCACTAGTAGAATTATTAACATAGAAAACCATGATGGGTACTAACAGATTCACTCAGAAGGAGCGGGCTAAAATTAATTCACATATGTGTAGCTGGCTCGGAGAAGACGCAGGGCTTGGAGGAAGCAAGACTGTTCAGCATGATTTAAAATTGATTTATGAGCTTACTGTAGCACTTGGAATAGAAAAAACTAATCTTTTCAGCGCCTCTGACCCCTCTCTCAAATTACACCAGGGTGCGACCGAGGAACAACAGCGCCGACCACCCATCCTTCTCGATCCCTGGGGAAATTAACTTTTTTTTGGATGGGAGAGTCAGTAGACGAGGCTTCATTTTCCATCAGGGAACACGAACTGCTGCGGGAAGATCCCAGCTTCTGGCTAAAGCTGCAGCGGTAGGAGCCGCCGACCAGCTCGCCATCCAGTCCCCAGAGCCCGGGCTTTAGGCAAAGCGGAGAGACGCAAACCAGTTTTGCCGCCAAGGACCCGGCCAGGTGCGTCTCCTCCCGGGACTCGCAAGGAACAGGTTAGCGAGACGACTTCCAGCTTTCTCTGCCCGGCCCCAAACGCCTGCCGCCCCTGCCCGGCCGCCCGCTCTCTGGCGGCCTCTGCAAGTCTCCAGGCAGAAGCGGCTCCGCGCTGCCAGCGCTGGCGCCCCGCGAAGCCCCGCGGCCAAATGACAGGACTTGAGGGCAAAGGAGGACAAAAGTTCCCACCAGGTGGGCACTGCGGGAAGGAGGCCGACGACCCCGAGATTCTCCGGCGACCCCAGCGGGCCACCCCGGGGCGGTGAGGGGTCCCGAGGCAAGTGCGCGGCGGCGCCGGCGGCTTCCCCCGCGGCCTGGGAAGGTCACGCCGCCCGGACGCCGAGGCCCGCCCCGCGACCCGCTCCCTCCGCCCCGCGCGCTTCCCACAGCTGGAGGCGCCGGGCCGGGCTGCGCCCTCTGCAGCGCCAGCGTGGCCACGTCCCGCTCAGGCTCCGCCGCCTGCTCGTGGCTCCGGGGCGGCCACTGTTAACACCCACGTCGGCCGCGGCCGGCCCTCCGCGCAGGCAGCCCCGGCGGCGGCCCCGCGAAGCTCAGGGGCGCCCCTGCGACCGGGGAGCGGGCTGCACAGTGCCGCGCCCGGGCTGGGTCCTGGAGCCGCCGCCGCCCGCACGGGAAGCGGAAGTGGGCGCTGAGCCGCGGCGCGCCCAGCCCAACCCAGCCCGCGAGCTGGCGTGGCGCTGCCGCCGACCCTAGCAAAGCTGGAGGGCAGGGCCTGCGCGCCTGGGGACTTGCCCTCCTCTGGGCTCCGCAAGACCGTGTCTGAGCTCGGACCTTAGTTAGCCGCCTGGGCTGAGGATGAGGGCTGGGGACTGGGAATGTCAGTGGTTGGGAGGACTTAAGTTTCTAGCTAGTTTGACCTTGTTGGGAGGCTAAGGCCTTATTTATAAATTTTATTTGGGTACAAAATTATACTCGGGATTCAAGGCACTACTATAAAATACGTTGAGTATGAAAATACAGGAATTAGCCGGGCGCGGTGGCTCACGCCTCTAATCCCAGCACTTTGGGAGGCCAAGGCGGGCGGATCACTTGAGGTCAGGAGTTCGGGACCAGCCTGGCCAGCATGGCGACACCCCCGTCTCTACTAAAAATATAAAAATTATCCGGGCGTGGTGGCGGCGCCTGTAATCGCAGCTATCCGGAAGGCTGAGGCAGGAGAATTGCTGGAACCCGGGAAGCAGAGGTTGCAGTGAGCTGAGGTCGTACCACTGCACTCCAGCCTGGGCAACAGAGCAAGACTCTTGTCTCAAAAAAAAAAAAAAAAAAAAAAAAAACCACAAAAAACAAAAAAGACTGGAATTGCAGTGATGGAAACTAAATTCCCTTATTACCAGTTTTTTTTTTGTTGTTGTTGTTTTGTTTTGTTTTTAAACCAGGCCGGGCACGCTAGCTCACGCCTGTGATCCTAGCACTTTGGGAGGCAGATGTGGGCGGTTCACCTGAGGTCAGAGATTGGAGACCAGCTTGACCAACGTGGTGAAATCCGTTCTCTACTAAAAATACAAAAATTAGCCGGGCATAGTCGTGGGCACCTGTAATCCCTGCTACTTGGGAGGCTGAGGCAGGAGAATCACTTGAACTCAAGAGGTGGAGGTTGCAGTGAGCCAAGATTGCACCATTGTACTCCAGCCTGGGCAAAAAAGTGAGACTCCATCTCAAAAAAAAAAAAAAGCCATTTCCCAATTCCCCTCTCCCAAGGAAATCCATGTGATGCGATTTCTGCAAGTGCACTGATGAAAACTGTAACACTGTGGGCTCGGATCTTGTAGGTTATATCTGTGGTTCTCTGGCATTTTGTTAAACAAGTGAAAGCATTCAAGGAAGCTGTTGTTTGCCCAGAGTAATTTTCTTTAATGCCCTAAGACAAAGGGTCAGAGGGTCTTGGTCTATTTGAGACCGCCACTCAACACAACAAACAGCTTTGGTTCAGCCTTTGTGTATTGATTTTCGTTTTCAACACTGTTTTCTTCCTTAAACGGTGTGGACCAGGCGCGGTGGCTCACGCCTGTAATCCCAGCACTGTGGGAGGCTGAGGTGGGCAGAATACAAAATTAGCTGGGCTTGGTGGCGCATGCCTATAATCCCAGCTACTCGGGAGGCGAAGGCAGGAGAATCGCTTGAACCCAGGAGGCAGAGGTTGCAGTGAGCTGAGGCCGCACAATTTCACTCCAGCCCAGGTGACCAGAGTGAAACTCTCTCAAAAAAAGAAGCAAAAAGAAACAAACAAACAAACAAAAAAGAATCCAACAGCACATCCAAACAAGGCTGAAAGTTGTAAAAGAAAACTACACTGTGTGGACAGTTTGTGTGTGTGTGTTAGAGATGAAGTCCCTCTGTCTCCCAGGCTGGAGTGCAACGGTGCCATCATAGCTCACTGCAGCCTCCAGTTCCTGGCTTCAAGCGATCCTCCCGCCTTGGCTTCCCAAGTAGCTGAGACTAGAGGCATGGGTCGCCATACCCTGTTTTTTTTTTCGTTTTTGTTCTTTTTCAGATGGAGTCTCCCTCTGTCGTCCAGGCTGGAGTGCAGTGGTGTAATCTCAGCTCACTGCAACCTCCAACTCCCGGGTTCAAGCGATTCTCCTGCCTCAGCCTCCCGAGTAGCTGGGGTTACAGGCACACGCCACCACGCTGGGCTAATTTTTGTAGTTTTAGTAGAGACGAGTTTTCGCCATGTTGGCCAGGCTGGTCTCGAACTTCTGACCTCAGATGATCCACCTGCCTTGGCCTCCCAAAGTGCTGGGATTACAGGTGTAAGCCACTGCACCCGGCCACGCTGTTGGATTATTACCAATGTTATTTAAGTGATTTGATTGGTGTTAGTGTTTAACAGGAATGCACACCTGAATAGACCTCCCAGGCTGTAGTAGATGTTATGCCGGGATTAGAGTGCCAGGTAAATGGGCACTCATCAGAATCAGCACTGTAGAACTCGAGCTTCTGGACCATAAGTGAGTTGCAGAAGCAAGCCAGGGAGTTGAGATGACTTGTCCAAAGTGATGGGGAACATAACGAACTGGAAGCAGATCCAGGAGCCGTAACCAGTTACAGCAGCCTAGAGGAACTGGCAGTATCACTTAGTCCAGTGGCTTTTGCAGCTTAAGAAAATGAGATCCGGCCGGGCGCGGTGGCTCAAGCCTGTAATCCCAGCACTTTGGGAGGCCGAGACGGGCGGATCACGAGGTCAGGAGATCGAGACCATCCTGGCTAACACGGTGAAACCCCGTCTCTACTAAAAAATACAAAAAACTAGCCGGGCGAGGTGGCGGCGCCTGTAGTCCCAGCTGCTCGGGAGGCTGAGGCAGGAGAATGGCGGGAACCCGGGAGGCGGAGCTTGCAGTGAGCTGAGATCCGGCCACTGCACTCCAGCCTGGGCGACAGAGCGAAACTCTGCCTCAAAAAAAAAAAAAAAAGAAAAAAAAAAGAAAATGAGATTCAAAAGAACCCAGATTAAGGACAGACTTGACTGGGTGCAGTGGCTCATGCCTGTAATCCCAACATGTTGGAAGGCCGAGGCAGGAGGACTGCTTGAACCCAGGAGTTCGAGTTCAACCTGGGCAACATAGTAATGTAACTGCCCAATGGGTTCTTCTTACCTGCTGCCTTGACTGAGCCAATTTATCAAGATGGTGGAACTGCAACAGAGAAAGAGTTTAATTCACGCAGAGCCAGCTATACAGTAGACCAGGGTTTTGTTATTACTCAAATCAATCTCCCCAAGAATTCGGGGATTGGAGTTTTTAGGGATAATTTGGTGGGTAGGGGGCCAGTAAGTGTTAATTGGTCAGGTTGGAAGTGAAATCATGGGGAGTCTAAACTGTTCTCTTGTGCTGAGCCGGTTCCTCAGCAGGGGCCACAAAACCAGATGAGCCAATTTATGAATCTGGGTAGTGCCAGCTGATGAATCCATCGAGTCCAGGGTCTGCAAAATATCTCAAGCACTGATCTTAGGTTTCACAACAGTGATGTCATCCTGAGGAGCAATTTGGGGAGGTTTGGAATCTTGCAGCCTCCAGCTGCATGACTCCTGAACCATAATGTGTAATCTTGTGGCTAATTTGTTAGTCCTACCAAGGCAGTCTAGTCCCCAGGCAGGAAGGGGGTTTCTTTTGGGAAAGGGTTGTTATCGTCTTTGTTTCAAAACTAAACTATAAGCTCCTCTCAAAGTTAGTTCCGCCTACACCCAGAACAGGGACAGTTTGGAGGTTAGAAGCAAGATGGAGTCAGTTAGGTCAGATCTCTTTCACCATCATAGTCTTCTCGGTTATAATTTTTGCAAAGGCAGTTTCAGTGAGCCTGTCTCTACTGAAACAGGTGTGGTGGCACACAGCTGTAGTCCCACCTACTGGGGAGACTATGGCAGGAGGATCGCTTGAGCTTGGGAGGTTGAAACTGAAGTGAGCTGTGTTCAAACAACTGCAGTCCAGCCTGGGCGACTGAGCAAGACCCTGTCTCAAAAAAATAATAATAAATAAAATAATAAAGAAAAAGGAAGAACCCTGTTATAGATTAGAAAGAGCACTGGACTTGGGGCCAGGATGTTTGTGTAAATGTCCCTCTGTGACCTTTAGCGAATCAGCCTTTTGTAAACTCCAGCCACAGCATGCACCGGTTCCTTTGAACCCCCTGTGCTCCATCAACCCGTGGGAACAATCCACCATGCAGGGCACCTGGTACTCTCCTCGAGCCATTGGCCCCAAGCCTAATGCTTTGTCTTGTCTTCCTTGAGCCCCTTCCTCTCCTATCCTCACAAGGGCTGTTCCGAACTCTCATCACTCCCAAGCCTTCCACATTTCTCCACTCCATGCTTCCCCTGTGCAAGCATCAGCCTCAATGTGTTCTATAAGAAACAATCGGAATTTTGCTCAGATTTTTAATACCTAATCTACGAAGTTGCCTTTTTTTTTTTTTTTTGAGATGGAGTCTCGCTCTGTCACCCAGGCTGGAGTGCAGTGGTGCCATCTCGGCTCACTGCAAGCTCCGCCTCCCAGGTCCACGCCATTCTCTTGTCTCAGCCTCCCGAGTAGCTGGGACTACAGGTATGTGCCACCACCCCCGGCTAATTTTTTTGTGTATTTTTAGTAGAGATGGGGTTTCACGTGTTAGTCAGGCTGGTCTCGATCTTCTGACCTCTTGATCTGCCTGCCTTGGCCTCCGAAAGTGCTGGGATTACAGGCATGAGCCACGGCACCCGGCCAGGATTAAGTAATGTACATAGCTACTGTAATGTGGTCCTCTGACCAGCAGCATTAGCATCTCCTGGGAGTTTATTAGAAATGCAAATTCTCGAGTGTCTCCTGGACAAAGCTGCTGAATCAGAATTCTTTGGTGGGAAATAATCTGTGTCTTAGCAAGGAGCATAGATAATTTCTATGGGCCAGGTATGGTGGCTCTTGCCTATAATCCCAGCACTTTGGGAGGTGGGCGGATCTCTTGAGCCTAGCAGTTTGAGACCAGCCTGGGCAACATGGCGAAACCCTGTCTCTACAAAAAGTTACTCAGTTGAATGGAACTTCTTGGTTTCTACATTATATCAAAAATACTTCTAGAAAGTATGATCGGGTGGTAAAGTAAGGTAATTCAGATAATCAGTACCCATAATAGGTACTTCCTCCTCCTCCTGCTTTTAGAAACAAAACGGTTATATATCAATATATGGAAATAAATAATACAAACATATATAAATACTTATCAAGAATGGAATTTTTAAAGCCCCTAGATCTGTTTATGACTCATAATACTCTTTATTATAATTATAATTGAATTAACTAGTACATAAATGGTAAAGTGAGTTGAATGCTTTGGAAAGAGTCAGTAACGGTCATTTAAAATTTTTCTTTCCAATTAGGCATGAGTGAGGCAAAAATACATATGCAGAAGGATCATATGCTTAGATTGCTTTGTAAGCTTTT